TCGGGACATTAAAGAAGAGGAAAACTGAAAAACCGAAAAACCAAGAAAAAAAATTGAAAAATCGAAAAATCGAAATATTTAAAATTTAAAAAATGAGAATAAAAAACGAAAAATCGAGATGCCGAAAAGTGGAAAAATTGAAACGTTCAAAATAAAAAATAATGAAAAATTGAATAATCGATAAAGTGTAAAACTGAAAAAGTTGAAAAATCAAAAAATCGAAACACGAAAAGTCAAAATATTCAGAATTTAAAAAATTAGAATGAAAGACTGTAAAACTGAAAAATTGAATTGATAATCGAAAAACTGTAAAATTGAAAAATCGGAAAATTGATCCATCAAAACATCTATTATTTAAAAAATTGCAGCATTGAAAAATCAAAGTAGCTAAAATTAAAATCGAATAACTTAAAATTAAAAAAAATGAGAATTAAAATAGAAAAATCGAAATGCCGAAAAGTAGAAAAATTGAGAAGTTTTTTGAAGCCTCTGGTGTTTTTCAACTCAAAATTGATTTGAAAATTTGAAAAATTAAAAAATCGACAAATCGGAAAAAGGAAAAATTGGAAAATCGAGACATCGAAAAATCGAAATATCTAACATTTAAAAAATTAGGATAAAAAATGGAAATGCAGAAAGTAGAAAAATCAAAAAGTCCAAAATAAAAAAAAATGGAAGACTGAATAATCGAAAAACTAAAATTAAACTGAAAAAATTGGAAAATCAAAAATCGGAAAAACGAACAATCAAAATATTCAAAATTTAAAAAATGAGAATGAAAGACTGTAAAACTGAAAAATTGAATAGATAATCGAAAAACTGTAAATTTGAAAAATCGGAAAATTGAGTCATCAAAAAATCTATTATTTAAAAAAATCGCAGCGTTGAAAAATCAAAATAGCTAAAATTAAAAAAATCGAAAAATTAAAAAATCGAATAACTTAAAATAAAAAAAAAATGAGAATTAAAATAGAAAAATCGAAATGCCGAAAAGTAGAAAAATTGAAAAGTTTTTTGAAGCCTCTGGTGTTTTTCAACTCAAAATTGATTTGAAAATTTGAAAAATTAAAAAATCGACAAATCGGAAAAAGGAAAAATTAGAAAATCGAGAAAACCGAAATATCTAACATTTAAAAAATTAGGATAAAAAATAGAAATGCAGAAAAGTAGAAAAATCAAAAAGTCCAAAATAAAAAAAAATGGAAGACTGAATAATCGAAAAACTAAAATTAAACTGAAAAAATTGGAAAATCAAAAATCGGAAAAACGAACAATCAAAATATTCAAAATTTAAAAAATGAGAATGAAAGAGTGTAAAACTGAAAAATTGAATAGATAATCGAAAAACTGTAAATTTGAAAAATCGGAAAATTGAGTCATCAAAAAATCTATTATTTAAAAAATCGCAGCGTTGAAAAATCAAAATAGCTAAAATTAAAAAAATCGAAAAATTAAAAAATCGCATAACTTGAAATTAAAAAAAATTTGAATAAAAATAAAAAAAATCGAAATGCCGAAAAGTAGAAAATTGAAAAGTTCAAAATAACAAAAATTTTTCGATTTCTTACACTTTTACATGCTTCAATTTTGGGATTTTTCAATTTTTCGATTTTTTGATGTTTCGATTTCTCGATTTTTCAATATTTTGATTCTTCAATTTTTCGATATTTAATTTTTAAGTTTTTTAAATTTTAGATTTTACGATTTTTCGATGTTTCATTCAGTTCTTTGTTTTTTCTGTTTTCCAATTTTTCGAATTTTGAATTTTTCGATTTCTCGAATTTTCAATTGTTTAATTTTTCGATCTTTTAGAATATGTATTAAATTTTTCGATTTTCTGTTTTTTAGATTTCCAGTTTTGCGATTTTTAGGTTTTCCAATTTTTCAATTTTTTAAACTTTAGATTTTTCGCCCACCCACCCTTTCTTTTCTCAGAAGATATCTCATCTGCCAAAGTCACTCTTATCGTAGCAAGTACTAGGCCCGCCCACCCACCCTCTCTTTTCTTAGAGGGAATTTCATCTTAGCAAGTACTAGCTAAGGTAAAACTGATGTTGGCAAATGAGATTCCCTCGAAGAAACAGAGGGCGGGTGGGCGGGGCTAGTACTTGCTAAGATAAGACTGACTTTGGCAGATGAGATACTCTTTAAAAAAATGAAGAGTGGGTGGGGCTAGAATTCGTTAAAATAAGACTGATTGTGGCAAGTGATATACTTTCCAAAAAAATAGAGGGCGGGTGGGCGGGGCTAGTACTTGATAAGATCAGATTGATTTTGGTAAATGACATATCCTCTAAGAAAATAAAGTGGGTGGGGTAAAAAAACCGAAAAATTCAAAATTGATTTGAAAAATTGAAAAATCGACAAATCGAAACACCGGAAAATGGGAAAATCGAATATTTAAGAAATCTAAAAATCGAGAAATTAAAAAATTGGAAAATCCAGACATCGAAAAATCGAAATATCTAAAATTGAAAAATGAGGATAAAAAATCGAAATGCCGAAAAGTAGAAAAATCGAAAAGTCCAAAATAAAAAAAAATGGAAGGTTGAATAATCGAAAAACTGTAAAATTAAACTGAAAAAATAGTTAAATAAAAATTCGAAAAAATAATATAATCAAAATATTTCAAAATTAAAAAATTAGAATGAAAAGTAGTAAAACTGAAAAATCGAAAAATTTAAACATCATAAGTAAAAACCGAAACATTGAAAAACAGAAAAGTCGAAATATGAAAAATCGAAAAAGTTGAAAATTAAAAAGTCGAGAAATCGAAGAATCGACAAATCGAGATCTTAAAGAATAGGAAAAGTAAATAACCGAAAAATCAAGAAAAAAAAATTGAAGGACTGAAAAAGTAAAAAACCGAAACTTAAAAAATATCGAAATCCTGAAAAATTGAAAAATCGAAAAAATCCAAAATTAGAAAAATTGAAAAACTGAATATAGATAATCGCAAAAGTGTAAAACCGCAAAATTGAAAAATCGAAAATTCGACAAGTCAAAACAACCAAGAATCAAGAAATCGAAAAATCGAACATTCTAAAATTCGAAAAATTGAGAAATCGAGAAATCGAATATTGAAAAATTGAAAAATTCAAAAATCGAGAAATCGAAAAGTCAAAATATCGAAATATCGAAGAACTGAAGAATCGAAAACCAAATCACCAAAGCATTAAATCACCAAATCACCAAATCACAAATCAACAAATCACCAAATCACCAAATCACTAAATTACCAAATCACCTAATCTGATCATCACCTAATCACCTAATAACGAAATCACGAAATCACCAAATCACCAAATCACCAAATCACCAAATCACCAAATCACCAAATCCCCAAATCACCTAATAATCACCAAATCACCTAATCACCAAATCAGCAAATCAGCAAATCACCAAATCACCAAATCACCTAATCTAATCATCACCTAATCACCAAATTACGAAATTACGAAATCACCAAATCACCAAATCCCCAAATCACCTAATAATCACCAAATCACCTAATAATCACCAAATCACCTAATCACCAAATCAGCAAATCAGCAAATCAGCAAATCACCTAATCACCTAATCACCAAATCACCTAATCTAATCATCACCCAATCACCAAATTACGAAATCACGAAATCACCAAATCACCAAATCCCCAAATCACCTAATAATCACCAAATCACCTAATCACCAAATCACCTAATCACCTAATCACCTAATCACCAAATCACCAAATCACCTAATCACCAAATCACCAAATCACCAAATCACCTAATCTAATAATCACCTAATCACCAAATTACGAAATCACCATTATTATTATTTATTTTGAATATTTTTGAATATTTCAAAGGACGATTCTGGGAAAACCATTGGAGTTATCGAAGAAATGAAAACGGATATGATGATTTCTGCGGCCCGAAATCTAGAAGAAAATGTTTTAAGTGAAATTTCGAAAATTTTGTTGCAAATTGGTGGAAAATTGGGGTTATTTTGCATATTTTTGTATATTTTAAAGAACGATTCTGGGAGAACCATTGGAGTTATCGAAGAAATGAAAACGGACATGGCTTCTGCGACCCGTAATCTACAAGAAAATGTATTAAGTAAAATTTCGGAAATTTTGTTGAAAATTGGTGGGAAATTGAGGTTATTTTGCATAGTTTTGAATATCTCAAAGGACGATTCTGGGAAAACCATTGGAGTTATCGAACAAATGAAAACGGATGTGACTTCTGCGGCCCGAAATCTACAAGAAAATGCATTAAGTAAAATTTCGAAAATTTTGTTGAAAATTGGTGGGAAATTGGGGTTATTTTGCATAGTTTTGAATATTTCAAAGGACGATTCTGGGAAAACCATTGGAGTTATCGAAGAAATGAAACCGGATATGACTTCTGCAGCCCGAAATCCACAAGAAAATGTATTAAGTGAAATTTCGAAAATTTTGTTGAAAATTGGTGGGAAATGGGGGTTATTTTGCATATTTTTGAATATTTCAAAGGACGATTCTGGGAAAACCATTGGAGTTATCGAAGAAATGAAAACGGATGTGACTTCTGCGGCCCGAAATCTACAAGAAAATGTATTAAGTGAAACTTCGAAAATTTTGTTGAAAATTCGTAGGAAATTGGGGGTATTTTGCATATTTTTGTATATTTCAAAGCACGATTCTGGGAGAACCATTGGAGTTATCGAAGAAATGAAAATGGATATGACTTCTGCGGCCCGAAAACTGCAAGAAAATGTATCAAGTGAAATTTCGAACATTTTGTTGAAAATTGGTGGGAAATTGGGGTTATTTTGCATATTTTTGAAGTCTTTTTTAAAATTCCGAATTTTCTAGATGTTTTGTAAAAATGGTGTCCAATGAATTTCTATAAACCCCAAAAAGCGAAAAAACGAATCTGAAAAGAAAGTTACCAGCAAAAACCATCTCATCTATTTAAAAACGTCGCGCTTTCACTCTCCGCGACCTTGCCATCCGCGTCCGTGTGAAGCCGCCTTTAGCTCCTTCAGTCGCCATCATGGAAACTTAGTAGCTGTCAACACACGAAACCAAAACATGCAAGAACAGCCCCAAACCGGTGAGTACTAAATGAAAACCACCCCCCACGCCTCTCACCCCGCCTCCCCCCGTCCCGTCGCGCCCGCTGCCGCCCCCGGGCGCCCCCGAACCCCCAAACCCGTCAGATTTCTGGCTCCAAGTGCGTGGGTGACAGTTCCTGGAAATGTCAACAACTATCACAAAAAGAGCAAATTCCTTGCAGATGAGGCCCCCGACAACGTCTGCGCTGGCTGCCTCAACATCCTCGACGAGGAAGACGTGATCTGCGCCCTCAACCAAGAATGGCACCTGGAATGCTTTCGGTACGTACTTGACTAACCCCCCAGTTGTCTTCTAGTCGTGTTCGGTTGCAGTTGCTCGGCCTGCGACGCCCCCTTGTCGAACTGGTACTTCGAGAAAGACGGGCTGTTGTTCTGCAAGGACGACTACTGGGCCAGGTACGGCGAGTCGTGCCAGCAGTGCAGCCAGATCATCACGGGCCCCGTCATGGTGGCCGGAGAGCACAAGTTCCACCCGGAGTGCTTCTGCTGTAGCTCGTGCGGGGCGTTCATCGGAGATGGAGACTCGTATGCGTTAGTGGAGCGCTCGAAGCTTTACTGGTAGGGTTTGAGGTTGCGGGGCGAGGTTGGTTATTGATGTGGGGTTGTAGTGGACAGTGTTACAAGAGGCAGATGCAGCCGCTGAAGAGGACGGCGAGGTGCCCGTTCGTGCGCAAGCCGCACTCGATAAGGCTGGTGGAGGTGCCGGGGGGGCACAAGGGGATCAAACTGTCGAGGGATTCGATAGGGACGGACAACAGCCAGTGTTTCACGATCTCAGAGTAAGAAGGGGGCTTGTGGAGTTAATCGCACTAACGGGTTTTGAGTATCAATGAGGCGGGAGTAAGTTTTAGTGGGTTGCTGGAAGTTGGGGACTTTGGTTTTTAAATGTTTTTGACAAGCAGGCAGGACAGTGACGTCAGATACAAATCTGGAATATTAAAAAATTCCAAAAATTAAATGCATTGAAAAATTGAGAAATCGTAAAACCGAAATATTGAGGAAAAAAATTAACACTTAAAAATCTAAAACTGAGAAGTCAAAAATCGAACGATTGAAAGATTAAAAAATTCGGAAAGTTGAAAAATTAAACAAAAAATCAAAACAGTGAAGAAGATAAAATCGAAAAATATGAAATTTAAAAAATTAAAAAGCTACGAACTCGAATAATTGAAAATTCGTAACATCAAACACCAGAAAAATCTAAAAAACGAAAGAAAAATTGAAAATCGAAAAACCAAAAGGTCTAAAAATCTAAACATAAAAACCTAAAAATCGGAAGATCAGAAAAATTCAATTTTATACATCGAAAAATTGAAAAATCGAGAAATCGACAAATCCCAAACCTGAAACATGGAAAAATTGAGAATTCGAACTGAAAAATGTAAAAATTGAAGAAAACGGAAATTTAGAATATTCGAAAAATTGAAATGTTAAAAAAAATTAAAATCGGGAAATCGAATAATTGAAAAATCGAAACCTTTAAAAATGGAAAAACCGAGTCGAGAAATCGAAAATGCGAAAAATTTCTCGATTTTTAAATTTTTTGTTTTTCGATTTCTCGGTATTTTCATTTTTCGTTTTTTGAAATTTTATATTTTTCGATTTTTCGGATTTTTATATTTTCGACCTTCCATTACTGGTATCTCGATTTTCAATTTTTTTGATTTTTGAAATTTTAGATTTTTCGCTTTTAAATTATTCAACTTTTCATTTTTTAGATGTTTAAGTTTCTTGATTTTTCCTTTTTCGATTTTAGATTTTTCGATTTCTCGAGTTTTCAATTCTCCGATTTCGATTTCATTATCTCCATTTTTTGATTTCGTAATTTTTTTATTTTTCAATTCATCTATTTTAAAATTTTTCAATTTTTAGCTGTTTCGGTTTTTCGATTTCTCGGTTTTAAATTTTTTACTTTTTTAAATGTTTCGATGTTTAAAATTTTTGATTTTTCGATTTCTCAAATTTTACATTTTTCAATTTTTCGATTGGCCAAATTTTCAATGTTTCAGTTTTGGAATTTTTTGATTTCCCGATTTTTCAGCTATTCGATTTTTTAATGTTTCAATTTTTAAATTTTATATTTTTTGATTTCTCGATGTTTCAGTTCTTCAGTTTTTATGTTTTTTTTGAATTTTCAAATTTTCGACTTTCGATTACTCGATTTTTCGATATTTTGATATTTGAAATTTTAGATTTTTAAATTTTCCATTTTTTTCATGTTTCAATCTCTCAATTTTTCCTTTTTGATTTCTCAAGTTTTCATCTCCGATTTTTAAATTTTCCGAACTTATTAATTTAAGATGTTTTGATTTTTCGATCTTTCGGTTTTTCGATTTTTTAAAATGTTTATTTTTTGATATCTTAAATTTTTGTTATTTCAGTTTTGGGAGTTTTCGACTTTTTGATTTCCCGATTTGTCAACTTTTCGTCTTTTTAATCTTTCGTTTTCTCGATTTTTCAATTTATGTATTCTTCAATAATAATCATTGAATTTTAATTTTTCGTTTTTTTAAATTTTAGATTTTTCAATTTCTCGATGTTCCAGTTCTTCAATTTTTCTGTTTTTCAATGTTTCGAATTTTTTAATTTTTGCTTTTAATTACTCGATTTCTTGATTTTTCGATTTTTTGAATTTTTCAATTTTACATTGCTCGATTTTTCAATTTCTCGGTTTGAAATTTGTCAGTTTTTCAATTTTTGGATTTTTAAAATCTTTCATCGATTATTGAATTTTTTCGATTTTTCGATTGTTCAATTTTCCGATTTTTCAATTTTTCGGTTTATATTTTTCCATTTTTAATTTTTCATTTGGGCTAGTTCGATTTCTCGATGTTTCAATTTTTCTGTTATTCGATTTCTCGGTTTTTCAATTTTTAGATTTTTGGATTTTCAATTTTTCGAATTTTTCAATTTATCTGTTTTAAAATTGTTCGATTTTTCAATTTCTCGATTTATAGTTTTGTTGGTTTTTGAGTTTTTAGGTTTTTCAATTCTTCGATTTTTTAAATTTTACATTTTCTGGTTTTTCGAATTTCCGATTTTCCAATTTTTCGAGTTCTAAAATTTAGTTTTTCGGGTCTTTCGATTTCATGATCTCGAATTTTAGATTCCTTAATTTTTCGATTTTTTAATTCTTTTTTTTTTATTGTTCGATTTTCCGATTTTTCAATTTGTTTTATTCGTCAGTTAATTTTTTAAATTTTAGATTTTTCGATTTCTCGATGTTTCAATTCTCCAGTTTTTCTGTTTTTAAATTTTCGACTTTCGATTACTCGATTTTTCGATATTTTGATATTTGAAATTTTAGATTTTTCGATTTAAAATTTTTCAATTTTCCATTTTTTTTGATGTTCCATTTTTTCAATTTTTCCTTTTTCGATTTCTCGAGTTTTCAGTTCCCCGATTTTTCAATTTTTCGAATTTATTAGTTTAAAATTTTTCAATGTTTAGATGTTTCTATTTTTTGATTTCAATTTTACAGTTTTCAATTTTTTGATTTCTCAAATTTTTGATGTTTCAGTTTTGGGATTTTTCGACTATTTCATTTCCCGATTTTTCAACTTTTTGACTTTTTAATGTTTCGATTTCTCGATTTTTCAATTTTTTTATTCTTCAAATTGTCGATATTATTTCTCGGTTTTTCAATTTTTCAGTTTTTGGATTTTTTAAAATCTTTCATCGATCATTGAATTTTTTCGATTTTTCGATTGTTCAGTTTTCCGATTTTGCAATTTTTCGATTTATCGAATTTTTTTAATTTAAATTTTTGCATTTTTAATTGTTCATTTGGGCCACTATTATTCGATTTCCCGGTTTTTCAATTTTTCGGCTTTTCGATTTTAAAATTTTTGGATTTTCGAATTTTTGGATATTTCGATTTTTCGACATCTCAGTTTTGGGATTTTTCAATTTTTCGAATTTTCGATTTCTCGATTTCCCGTTGTTTTTTAATTTTTCGGTTCTTCGATTTTTCAATTTTTTCGATTTCTTAAATTGGTCATTTTTCGGTTTTTCACTTTTTCGATTTTACGATTTATTGACAATACGATTTCCCGATTTTAAATTTTTTATTTCGATTTTTTGAATTTCCGATTTATCGACATCTCGGTTTTTCTCCAATTTTTTTTAGACTTCTTAATTTTTGATTTTTCAATTTTTAAATATTTTAAACTTTCGATTTTTCGATTTTAACTTTTTCAATGTCTTGATTTTTGTTTAATTTTTCTATTTTTCAATTTTAGATTTTTCGAATTTTCATTTTTTTGGTTTCTCAGTTTTTCGATTTTCCAATTTTTCTTAAATTTTTACATGCTTCAGTTTTGGGATTTAATTTTTCAGTCTTTTAAATTTTAGATTTTACGATTTTTCGATGTTTCATTCAGTTCATCGCTTTTTCTGCTTTCAATTTTTCAAATTTTGAATTTTTCGATTACTCGATTTTTCGATTTTCCGTTTTTTAGATTTCCAATTATTCAATTTTCCAATTTTTAGATTTTTCAATTTTTCGACTTATAAAATTTAGTTTTTCTGATCTTTCCATTTCATTATATCGAACTTTAGACTTCTTAATTTTTTGATTTTTCAATTTTTAAATTTTTTGAACTTTCGATTTTTCGATTTTTTAGGTTTTCGATTTTCAATTATTCGAGTTCCCAGCTTTTCAGTTTTTTAAATTTCATATTTTTCGATTTTAACTTTTTCAATGTTTTGATTTTTTGTTTAATTTTTCTATTTTTTAATTTTAGATTTTTCGGATTCTCGTTTTTTTTTTAAAGATTTCTCAGTTTTCGATTTTCCAATTTTTCGATTTCTTCAATTTTTACATGCTTCAGTTTTGCGATTTTTCGATTTTTTGATGTTTCGATTTCTCGATTTTTCAATATTTTGATTCTTCAATTTTTCGATGTTTCATTCAGTTCTTCGTTTTTTCTACTTTCAATTTTTCGAATTTTGGATTTTTCGATTACTCAATTTTTCGATTTTCCTTTTTTTAGATTTCCAATTTTTCGATTTTCCAATTTTTCGATTTTTCAATTTTTCGACTTATAAAATTTAGTTTTTCTGATCTTTCCATTTCATTATATCGAACTTTAACTTCTTAATTTTTTTGATTTTTCAATTTTTAGATTTTTTAAACTTTAGATTTTTCGGTTTTTTAGTTTTTCGATTTTCAATTATTCGAGTTCGCAGTTTTCAGTTTTTTAAATTTCATATTTTTCGATTTTAACTTTTTCAATGTTTTGATTTTTTGTTTAATTTTTCAATTTTTCAATTTTAGATTTTTCAAATTCTCGTTTTTTGATTTCTCAGTTTTCGGTTTTCCAATTTTTCGATTTCTTAAATTTTTACATGCTTCAGTTTTGCGATTTTTCGATTTTTCGATTTTTTGATGTTTCGATTTCTCGATTTTTCAATATTTTGATTCTTCAATTTTTCGATATTTAATTTTTCAGTCTTTTAAATTTTAGATTTTACGATTTTTCGATGTTTCATTCAGTTCTTCGCTTTTTCTGTTTTCAGTTTTTCGAATTTTGAATGTTTCGATTACTCGATTTTTCGATTTTCCGGTTTTTTAGATTTCCAATTATTCAATTTTCCAATTTTTAGATTTTTCAATTTTTCGACTTATAAAATTTTGTTTTCTGATCTTTCCATTTCATTATATCGAACTTTAAGCTTCTTAATTTTTTGATTTTGCAATTTTTTAAACTTTGGATTTTTCGATTTTTTGGCTTTTCGATTTTCATTTATTCGAGTTCGCAGCTTTTCAGTTTTTTAAGTTAGATATTTTTCAATTTCAACTTCTTCAATGTATTGATTTTTTGTTTAACTTTTCTATTTTTCAATTTTAGATTTTTCGAATTCGCGGTTTTTTTGGTTTCTCAGTTTTTCGATTTTCTAATTTTTCGATTTCTTACATTTTTACATGCTTCAGTTTTGGCATTTTTTGATTTTTTGATGTTTCGATTTCTCAATTTTTCGTTATTTTGATTCTTCAATTTTTCAATATTTAACTTTTCGGTCTTTTAAATTTTAGATATTACGATTTTTCGATGTTTCATTCAGTTCTTCGCTTTTTCTGATTTCAATTTTTCGAATTTTGAATTTTTCGATTACTCAATTTTTCGATTTTCCTTTTTTTAGATTTCCAATTTTTAGATTTTTCAATTTTTCGACTTATAAAATTTAATTTTTCTGATCTTTCCATTTCGTTATATCAAACTTTAGACTTCTTAATTTTTTTATTTTTCAATTTTTTAAACTTTAGATTTTTCGATTTTCAATTATTCGAGTTCGCAGCTTTTCAGTTTTTTAAATTTCATATTTTTCGATTTTAGCTTTTTCAATGATTTGATTTTTTGTTTAATTTCTCTATTTTTCAATTTTAGATTTTCCGGATTCTCGTTTTTTTTTGATTCCTCAGTTTTTCGATTTTCCAATTTTTCGATTTTTTTATGTTTAGATTTCTCGATTTTTCAATATTTTGATTCTTCAAATTTTCAATGTATCATTCAGTTATCCGTTTTTTCTGCTTTCAATTTTTTGAATTTTGAATTTTTTGATTACTCAATTTTTCGATTTCTCCAATTTTTACATGCTTCAGTTTTGCGATTTTTCGATTTTTTGATGTTTCGATTTCGCGATGTTTCAATATTTTGATTCTTCAATTTTTCGAATTTTGAATTTTTCGATATCTCGATTTTTTAATTTTTCGATTTATAAAGTGTAGCTTTTCTGATCTTTCAATTTCATTATTTCGAGTTTTATTTAGACTTCTTAATTTTTTGGTTTTTCGACTTTCAATTTTTCTTTCGTTTTTTCGATTTTTCGGGTATCTTGATGTTTCGAATTTTTTCATTTAAAATTTTTCAATTTTTCATTCTATCGATTTTTGATCTCTCGGTTTTAGAGTTTTCAGTTTTTCCATTTTTCTTATGATGCTTCGATTTTTCGAGTTTCCGATTCTTCAATTTAATGTGTTAATTTTCCAGTTTTTAATTTTTCGATTTTTAAAAATTTTACGTTTTTGAATTTTTCTATTTCTCAATTTTTTCGTGTTTTAGTTTTGGGATTTTTCAATTTCAAGATTTTTCAATGTTTTGATTTAGATTTTTCGATTTTAACTGTTTTTTAATTTTTTGTTGTTGCTACAATTTTTCGATTTTTCAGTTTTAGATTTCTTGATTATTGGATTTTTCACTTTTTCGCTTTTAGTTTTCCAATTTTTCGACTTTTCGTTTTGCAGACTCGTTGATTTCTTGATTTTCGTTATTTCAACTTTTTTTAACTTAAAATTTTTTGATTTTTGAAGTTCTAGATTTCTTTTCGAATTTTTAGTTTTTCAATCTTTAATTTTTACTTAGCAGTTTGACTAATTACGTTTTCGTTAATTGTATTTATGGAATAAGTGACGATTAAATTCAGTGATTATCAGCCGCTCTGTAGCCTAGTGGTCAAGGCACCTACCCGGTGTCGGTACGGAAAAACGTTAAAAATGAAAAAATTAAAACTCCAAATAACTATTTTTGATTAAAAAAAGCGTCCCAACTCCCGGCGAACCCCCGCCCTCCATAACCTTCTCTCTCCCACAGGATGGTCTGGAAACTCCAAGGCAAACTCCTCCAGGTGGCTTTCGCTTTTCTAACAAACGCTATTAACATGTGCTGCTATTTGCTGCCCTCACATAGGTACGTCCCCCCCTCCCCCGTCCGCCATTTTAACCGCCATCTTTGCAGACTCGACATGAACGACGACCTCATGTCGCTCCACATCGGCGACAAAATCCTCGAAATCAACGGCACCCCGGTCAAAGACACCGCCGTCGACACGGTGGAGAACCTCCTCAGGTACTCGGACACGGTCCTCCAGCTCACCATCGAGCACGACCCCGACACCATCGCCCAAAAAATCATCCACAAAACGTCGCTGCCTCAGAGCACCAACCCCCTCACCACGACAGCCAGTGATACCAACATTCCGACGATGAAGGTGACCATTCCGGGGGAGAGTCTGGGTGGGAGCACGGGGTCGGTGGGCGAGGTGGCGGAGGTGAAGCCGGCGAGCAAGGAGAGGTTGTTCAAGAGGCGCGACGAGGGGTACATGAGCGGGACGAGGTCGCGCCAGCTGAGGAGGAAGAACCACCTGGCGGAGAACCGCCAGAGCTTGGACAAGGAGCGGAGCTCGTCGATGAGTAGACTACTCGATGAAGCTCCGAACTCCAAGCGGTGTCTAGAGTTATCACGGGCCTACTCCTTCTTGGAACCTAGACCCCAGCAGCGCGTCTTCCGGGCCTCAGATCTCGTCAAGGGGGAGCTCCTCGGTCAGGGCTTCTTCGGACAAGTGTTCAAGGTGACGACGCGCGACACCGCCGAGGTGATGGTGCTCAAGGAGCTGTACCGCGTGGACGAGGAGGCGCAGAAGAACTTCCTCAAGGAGGTGGCGGTGCTGCGCAGTCTGCACCACAATAACGTGCTCAGGTTCATCGGGGTGCTGTACAAGGAGCGGCGGCTCCACCTGGTGACGGAGTACATCTCGGGGGGCACGCTGACGGAGCTGATCCACGACACGGCGCAGCCGCTCCCGTGGGAGCAGAGGGTGTCCTTCGCCAAGGACATCGCGGCGGGGATGGCGTACCTGCACTCGATGAATATCATCCACAGGGATCTGAACTCGCATAATTGTCTCGTCAGGGAGGATAAGACTGTGATCGTCGCCGATTTCGGGCTGGCGAGGATCGTTTCGCATACGACGAATAGCGCGAGGAGGGTGTCGCCCAAGGCGGCCTCGGGGAGGAAGCAGGAGAGGAAGAAGAGGTACACGGTGGTGGGGAACCCGTACTGGATGGCGCCCGAGATGATGAAGGGGAACAAGTACGACGAGAAGGTCGATATTTTTAGTTTCGGGATTATTTTGTGTGAGGTGAGTAATTAGTAGTAAAATTTACAATAGTATATATTTTTTTTGTATGAAATGAGATACTCCTATATTTGTGGTCCATGAATCCGTTAGAGTTTCGCCATAGAAATCCGTATTTTTGGGAAAAAAGTCAAAGTCGACTTTTTGATTTCCCGATTTTTCAATTTTTCGTATCTACAATTTTTCAATTTCATGATTTCCAATTTTTAGATTTTCCAAAGTTTTTATTTTATACTTTTTTGAATTTTCATTTTTGATTTTTTAATTTTTATAATTTTCTTTATTCGAAAAGTTGAAAAATCGGATAAATGAAAAAGTGCAAAATTTTGAAAATTGCAATTATTATTACGTATCTACAATTTTCGATTTTTCAATTTTTAATGTATTTTTCGAATTTTCGATTTTGTCAATTTGGCGGTTTCTCAGTTTTCCGAAATTTCACTTTTACAATTTTTTTACTTTTCCGATTTTTCAATTTTTCAATCTTCCGATTTTTTGCTTTTCGATTTTTCGAAATGTTTGGATTTTCCAATTTTTGTATTTCTTTCAATTCTTCGATCTTCGAAATTTTAGATTTTTCCTTTTTCAAGTTTTCACTTTCTCGATTTTTCAATTTTTGCGTCTATAGATTTCCGGATTTTTCGATTTTTCAGTATTTTGCTTCTTCAATTTTTCGATTTTTGACTTCGATTTTTGAATTTTTGAATTTTCCGATCTTTCACTTTTTCTTTTTTTTGCCGTTGTTGCTTTTTGATTTTTCGTTTCTACAATTTTTCAAGTTCATGATTTCCATTTTTTGGATTTTTCCAAGTTTGCATTTTATACTTTTTCGAATTTTCATTTTGAAAACTTGCAAATCGAAAAACTGAAGAAACGAAAAATAGAACTTTGGAAAAGCCAGAAGTCGTAGAATCGAAAATTATAGAATCGTCAAAAAATGTCAAATCTGAAGAAACGATTTTTTTCATTCAATTTTCCGATTCTTCGATTTTTCAATTTTTGATGTGTTTTTCAATTTTTCGAATTTTCGATTTTGTCAATTTTGCGGTTTCTCAATTTTCCGAAATTTCACTTTTACAATTTTTTTTAATTTTCCGATTTTTCAATGTTTCGATTTTTTGACTTTTTTGCTTTTCTATTTTTCGAAATGTCTGGATTTCCCAATTTTTGTATTTCTTTCAATTCTTCGATCTTTGAACTTTTAGATTTTTTCTTTTTTCAAGTTTTCACTTTCTCGATTTTTGAATTTTTTAATTTTCCGGTTTTTCACTTTCTTTTTTTTGCCTTTTTTGCTTTTTCGAAATTTCTGGATTTCCCAATATTTAGTATTTCTTTCAATTATTCGATTTTTCAAATTTTAGATTTTTCATTTTTTCAAGTTTTTACTTTTTCGATTTTTCAATTTTTCGTTATTTCGCTCCTCAGTTTTTCGATTTTTCGATTCTTCAGTTTTTCAATTTTTCGTTTCTACAATTTTCCAAGTTCATGATTTCCATTTTTTGGATTTTTCCAAGTTTGCATTTTATACTTTTTCGAATTTTCATTTTGAAAACTTGCAAATCGAAAAACTGAAGAAACGAAAAATAGAACTTTGGAAAAGCCAGAAGTCGTAGAATCGAAAATTATAGAATCGTCAAAATGTGTAAAATCTGAAGAAACGATTTTTTAAATCCAATTTTCCGATTCTTCGATTTTTCAATTTTTGATGTGTTTTTCAATTTTTTGAATTTTCGATTTTGTCAATTTTGCGGTTTCCCAATTTTCCGAAATTTCACTTTTACAATTTTTTTACTTTTCCGATTTTTCAATTTTTCAATCTTTCGATTTTTTGACTTTTTTGCTTATCGATTTTTCGAAATGTCTGGATATCCCAATTTTTGTATTTCTTTCAATTCTTCAATCTTCGAACTTTTAGATTTTTCATTTTTTCAAGTTTTCACTTTTTCGATTTTTCAATTTTTGATTATTTCGCTCCTTCAGTTTTTCGATTTTTTGACTTTTCGATTTCTCGATATTTGAATTTTTCAGTTTTCCCATTTTTCCACTTTTCGATTTCTCGGTTTTCCGATTTCTCAGTTGCCACCTTTTTAAATTTAGTTTTTCGATTGACTATTCGATTTCTGGATTATCCGATTTTTTTTACATATTTCGATTTCTGGATTTTTCAGTTGCTGAATTTCTAGTCTTTTCTTTTCCAAAATTTTTTAATTTTTCGATTTTACGTTCCGATTTTTCTGTTTTTCGATTGCAGTTTTTTGGATTTCTTAATTTATCCATTTTTTGTCTTTTTAGCTTTTCGAATTTTAGATTTTTTTGTTTCGGTTGTTGGATTTTCGAATTTTTGGATTTTTTCAATTTCTCGACCTTTCAAATTTTGGGTTTTTCCTTTTCAAGTGTTCACTTTTTCTATTTTAAGATTTTTTTCACTATTTCGATTTATAGACTTCTCAATTTTTCAGTATTTTGCTTCTTCAATTTTTCGATTTTTTGACCCTTCAATTTTTCGATTTTTCCACTTTTCGATTTTTTGGTTTTCCGATTTTTCAGTTTGCCACATTTTCAAATTTAATTTTTGGATTTCTCAATTTCTAGCTGTTTTAGTTCCAGAATTTTAATTTTTCGATTTACGTTCCGGTTTTTCTGTTTTTTGGATTTTTCAATCTTTCGATTTTTTTGTCATTTTAACTTTTCGATTTTTCGATTTTTTTGTTTCTATTTCTGGAATTTCCAATTTTTGTTTTTTTATTTTTCAATTTTTCGATCTCTCATTTTAGATTTTTCACTTTTTCGATTTTATGATTTTTCAATTTTTCGAACTATATGTAGATTTATCGATTTTTCCATTTTTTAGTATATCACTTCAATTTTTCGACTTTTCGATTTCTCGATTTTTGAATTTTTTGATTTATCGGTTTTCCGATTTTTCAGTTTGTCGACTTGTTAAATTTAATTTCTTGATTTTTCGGTTTCTGGATTATCCGATTTTTAATATTTGATTTTTGGATTTTTCAATTTCTTCATTTTTAGATATTTCAGTTCTAGAATTTTTTATTTTTCGGTTTTGCAGTTTCTACGATTTCTCAATTTTTTGATTTTTCGTCTTTTTAGCTTTTCGATTTTTCGATTTTTTTGTTCCGATTTTTCGATTTTCCATTTTTTGGATTTTTAAAATTTTTCAAATTTTCACTTTTCGATTTCTCGGTTTTCCGATTTTTGAGTTTGCCAACTTTTTAAATTTAATTTTTCGATTATTTGATTTTTCGATTTCTGGATTTTTCAGTTGCTGAATTTCTCAACATTTCAGTTTTAAAATTTCGGAATTTTTGGATTTTTCGATTTTACGTTCCGATTTTTCCATTTTTTGATTTCGCAGTTTTTTCGATTTCTCAATGTTTCCATTTTCGATTTTTCGATTTTTTTGTTCCGATTTCTGAATTTTCCAATTTTCGGATTTTTTCAATTTTTTGATCTTTCAAATTGTAGATTTTGCAGTTCTTCGATTTGTCGCGTTCTTAACTTCAGGATTTTTCAATTTTCCGAAATTTCACTTTTACAATTTTTTAATTTTTCGATTTTTCAAGCTACTGATTTTTCAGTTTTTGATGCATTTTTCAGTTCAGCGAATTTTCAATTTTATCAATTTTTCGGTTTCTCAATTTTTTGTTTTTTAAAGTTACATTTTTTTAATCTTCCATTTCTCCATTTTTTAACTTTCCGGCTTTTCGATTTTTCCGAAATTTCACTTTTAAAATTTTTTAATTTTCCGATTTTTCAGTCTTTCGATTTTTTGACTTCTTTGCTTGTCGATTCTTTGAAATTTTAGGTTTTTCCTTTTTTCAAGTTTTCACTTTTCAATTTTTCGGTCTATAGGTTTCCCAATTTTTCGATTTTTAAATTTAATTTTTCGATTACTCAATTTCTAGACACTTCAGTTCTAGCATTTTTTAATTTCCCGATTTTTCAGTTTTTCAAGCTTTCGATTTCTGGATTTTCCATTTTTTGGATTTTCGCGATTTTTTCAGTTTTTTCTTTTTTTACGTCTTCGCTTCTTCAATTTTTCTTTTGTTTGACTCTTTGATTTCCCGATTTTTGAATTTTTGTTTTTCGATTTTTCCACTTCGATCTGGGTTTTCCGATTTTTCGGTTTGCCGACGTTTTAAATGTAACTTTTCGATTATTCGATTTTTTGAATTCTGAATTATTCGATTTTTAATACATATTTCGATTTTTCAGTTTCTCAATTTCTCGACATTTCAGTTCCAGGATTTTTGAATTTTTCGATTTTTCGACTTTCTAAATTTTGGAATTTTCGATTTTTCAAGCTACCGATTTTTCGATTTTTTTATATAATTTTGAGTTTTTCGAATTTTCAATTTTTCCATTTTGTTAAATTTTCGATTTCTCAATTTTTTGATTTTTTTTTTCCAATTCCATCTCCTAAATTTTACATTTTTCCTTTGTTAAATTTTAGATTTTTCAATTCATCGATTTGTCGCTTTCTCAATTTTTTCGAAATTTCACTTTTGCAATTTTTTAATTTTTCGCTTATTCAATTTTTCGTTCTTTCCATTTTTGACTTTTTAGTTTTTATATTTTTCGATTTTTGTTTCGATTTCTAGATTTTCCAATTTTTCGATTTTTTTGATTTTTCTTTTTTCCCATTTTGGATTTTTTCCTTTTTTCACGTTTTCGCTTCCTCAGTTTTTCGAGTTTTCATTTTGCCCAATTTTTTAGTTTAATTTTTCGATTATTCGATTTTTAATTTTCGATTTGTGGATTTTTCAATTTCTTCGATTTTTCAATTGTTGATTTCCAATTTTTAGATTTTTGAGTTTTCATTTTATACTTTTTCGTTTTTTCGTTTCAAATTTTCAATTTTTCTATAATTTTGCAATTTTTTCATTTTTTTTTTTATTTAAAAATAGAAAAATCGAAAAACTAAAAAATCAGAAAAAATTGAAACATTGAAAAACTGAAAAAACAAAAAATTGAAACATTAAAAAAACTAAAAGTCGAGAAACTTATAATGAATTGAACAATTGAAAAACCAAAAAATCGTAAAATCGAAAATTATAGAATCGTCAAAATAGCTTGAAAAATTGTAAATCAAAAACTGAAGACGATTTTTTTAAAATTTGATTTTTCAGTCTTTGAAATCCTCGATTTTCCAATTTTTTGAATTTTGCGATTTCTCAATTTTGTCAATTTTTCGGTTTCTTAATTTTTTGATTTTAAATCTAGATTTCTCCGATTTGTCGCTTTCTCAATTTTCCGAAATTTCACTTTTGCAATTTTTTAGTTTAGACGATTTTTCGATTTCTGGATTTCCCAATTTTTGGATTTTTTTAATTTTTTTAAGTTTCAAATTACATATGATATTTTTCCTTTTTTCAAGTTTTCACTTTTTCAATTTTTCGATTTCCTGACTTTTCGATTTTTCGGGTCTCCGATTTTTAATATTTAGATTTTTGGATTTTTCGAAGTTCTCAATTTCTAGAAATTTCAGTTCTAGATTTTTTAAATTTTTTGATTTTTCGAGTTTTCGATTTTTTGTCTTTTTAGCTTTTCGATTTTTCGATTTTTTTGTTCCCATTTCTAGATTTTCCAAATTTCTGTTTTTTTTTTTCAATTTTTCGATCTTTCAAATTTTAGATATTTCCTTTTTTCAAGTTTCCACCTTTTCGAATTTACGGTTTTTTCAAGTTTTCAATTGTTCGATTTTTTAATTTTTCAATTTTTGGATTTTTCCACTTTTCAATTACTCAATTTATAAACATTTCAGTTCTAGAATTTTTTAATTTTTCGATTTTACGTTCCGATTTTTCCATTTTTTTGGATTTTGCAATTTGTTTCGATTTCCCAATTTTTCATTTTTTGTCTTTTCGATTTTTCCATTTTTTTGTTCTGATTTTTGAAATCCAAATTTTAAATTTTTCCTTTTTTCAAGTTTTCACTGTTTCGATTCTACGATTTTTTCAATTTTTCAGTTCTAGATTTTTTTAATTTTTCAATTGTTCGATTTTACGTTCCGATTTTTCAATTTTTCGATTTTGCAGTTTTTTTTCGACTGTTTAATTTTTCAATTTTTCTATTTTTTGTCTTTTTAGTTTTCCGGTTTTTTTGTTTCGATTTCTGGATTTTCTAATTTTTGGATTTCTTCAATTTTTCGGTCTCTCAAAGTTTAGATTTTTACTTTTTTCAGGTTTTCACGTTTTCGATTTTACGAATTCGTCAATTTTTCCATTTTTTGACATTTCGATTTCTCGATTTTTTAAATTTTCAATTTTTCGATTTTCCCACTTTTTGATTTTTCGGTTTTCTGATTTTTTGTCTTTTTGGCTTTTCGATTTTTTTGTTCCAATTTCTAGATTTTCAAATTTTGGATTTTTTTTCAATTTTTCGATCTTTCAAATTTTAGATATTTCCTTTTTTCAAGTTTCCACCTTTTCTTTTCGAATTTACCATTTTTTCAAGTTTTCAATTGTTCGATCTATAGATTTCCCGATTTTTTAATTTTTGGATTTTTCGATTTTACGTTCCGATTTTTCCATTTTTTTGGATTTTGCAGTTTGTTTCGATTTCCCAATTTTTCATTTTTTGTCTTTTCGATTTTTCCAATTTTTCGTTTTTTCAAGTTTTCACTGTTTCGATTCTACGATTTTTTCAATTTTTCGAAAAATTTAAGAAACGAAAAATTGAAAAAATTCACATTGAAAGAACAAAAATTATAAAATGGTAACATTGGAAAATCGAAATATTGTAAAAATAAAAAAAAATAAAACACTGAAATGAAGAATTGCAAATCGAAAATTTGAAAAAATTAAAATAAAAAATCGATAAATGAAAAATTGAAAACTCCAGGAATTTTAAATCGAAAAATATTGCAAAATGTAAAAATTGAAGAAACGAAAAAACGAAAAATTGGAGAAAAAAAAATTTGAACAAGTAAAAAATTCAAGTCAAAAAATCTGCGGGAGTGTTATTTATGTCTTCGGTTTCTACTTTATAGAGGTTATCAAAAAAAAAATATTATTATACTAACGAAATTTCTTGTACTTCAGGGGCGAGGGAACTTCAGTTGAAATAACCTTCCACCACTTTCTTTTTTTGCAGATTATTGGCCGCGTTCTTGCCGACCCCGATTTCTTGCCACGGTCGAACGATTTCGGCCTCAACCAGAACACCTTCAAGGAGAAGTTCTGCACGTCTTGCCCCGAAGCGTTCTACCAAGTCGCGTTTCTCTGTACAGATCTCAACCCGGACAAAAGACCCCCTTTCGAGGTGATGGAGGTGTGGCTCGAAAGCCTATCCATGCACCTCTCGGTGGGCATGCCCCTCCCCCCCGACCTCCTCTTCGACATCCAGCACTACAAGGGCGTGAGCCCCAGCTCGTCGGGCAGCAACACCCCCGACAGCATCCCCTCGGGCCACCGCAGCCCCGCCCTCGAGCCAATCAAAGAGGGCAAACTGGCGCCCGACAGCCCCGTCATCAAGGTCTCCGACACCCTCAAACCCATAATCAAAGTCTCAAGTGCCGAAAACTTGCTAAATAACTCGAAAAGCGAGCGCGACTTCCCCGACTACGAGAACATCGACTTCTTGAAGAACGACTGCGCGTACGTGGGGGAACCCCAGAAGGCTATAGGTATAGAGAAGCTGGCCGAAACGAACAAGTTCAGCGTGAATCTGCGGAAAGTGCCGAAGAACTTTACTCGGAATCGGCTGGATAAGGAGCCCGACGAGGGGGCGAAGAAGGTGTCCAATTTGAGTCTCCAGAGCATGAGTTTGAACTCCATGTGTCCGTCGAGCGTGACGCAGAAGTTCGTCAATAACTCCATAGTACAAAAGAAGAGCATCCCGGACGTGGTGTCGTCGACGTTGGGGCGGGCGGCGCCCCCCAAATCCACCGCCAACTTCTCCATAAACAAGAACATTTTCAAGAACCCGGACAGCAACAACTTGTGCTCGTCGCGGCGGCGGTACATGCGGGTGGCGGGCACGCCGCTGCTGCAGCGGCGCGCCGCCGCCAAGGCGCCGCCCGAGGCCGAGGCGAGTCCGGGGGTGAAGAACATCATCGACAATTTCAACCGGCGCGAGGAGATGGAGCGGGGGGCGTTCGGGAGGCGCTCGCTCAAGGTCGCGGGGAGCAAGAAGGAGGCGCCCGAGGAGTACACAAATTTGTAATTAATTGATTAACAGTGCTTTATACGTTCCACAATGCTCATGTAATCCAACAAAATTACTAATTATTCTGTGATAAATCTGTTAAGTATTACGATGAATTTATTTTACAAATGGAACAATAGCGGTATTTTTTATTGTTTAACGTAGGATTTATGTGATACCACTCACTAATATGTCGCTCAAGCAGTGTCGTAACATGTAACGTACTTATTTCCACATTCCATGTATTTTTTATGTTGTAAATAAAACAGAGTATTACACAATTGGGGTTTATTGGGGGGTACCGGGGGCGTCGTCGAGCTGGGCCTGGAGGGCTTCGGCCTCCTCCTTGACCTGGTGGAGGAGCTTGGTGGCCTTGAGGCACTTGACGCCGACGAGACAGGTTTCGCAGCGCATCTTCAGGATCTTGCGGAAGAGCGTGCGCAGCTCGGAGCTCTGGGATTCCATCATGGTGGAGATGGTCTCGTACTTTTTGCTCCATTCTGGGTGGGTTCGGCCCATTTCTATGGTTTCGGGCTGCATTTCGACGATTTCAAAAGAGCACTTTCGAATCGAGGGTTTCAATGACAAGTGACGTAACACAGTGGCGGGGTGATTTTTTCGAGTTTTTATTTTGATTGTCAAAGAGCACCATTGTCTTCTGATTGTTTATTATTATTTTTTAATGTCTATTGAAATCAGAATGTAGCATAAATTAATTCAAAATACTGTAATGTCTCGGTTAAATTTAAATTTAGCCCCAGAAAGAATGACATTTTTGGAATGTAGATTTAGATTTGCCTCCTGTCTTGCAGACAGATATAGCCTCCAAGGAAATAGAGGGTGGGTGGGAGGGGCTAGTACCGGCTAAGATAAGACTGACTTTGGCAAATCACATACCCTAGAAAAAAAAATTGCCAATGAAAAATATCAAAATATTTTTATAAAAAGAATAGTATTTATCTACCAACGGAACAGCCTTGAATTTTATTTTTTTCTTAATAAACACCTAGCATTCCACCAAGATTAGGACTAAAATGAGAAAATGTTTTCTAACCTAACATTATTTTGTTGTCAAATGTCTGAAAAAGCTGTAAACAATTATAATTGAATTTTCACCGCCTGTCTTTATTTTGTACTTCTGTAGGAATCCAATTCTGTCCTTTGATTTTCATGACCATTGAAGTATAGAAAATAAATTAGTCGCTGTAATAGCTAGTCACAATGAAGTTTGGAATCGCCAAGGACGCCGTATAATCTACGTCCTTGGGAATCGCGGAGTTTCAATGACAAATGACGTAAGACTTTGTTCACGTGTTAGATTCTCTTAGTTTCCACTCCCACTCGACAGAAGAACATAATTAGCCCCACCCACCCACCCCACGTCCCTTTCAGTGGTTAATTTGATCTGCCCTGAATCAAAGGTGGATTTTATATTGACCAGAAATAAAATTAGTCGTTTGAATGAGAATAGGGGGGTGGGCGGGGTTAGTACTTGCTAAGATAAGACTGATTTTGGCAGATGACATACCCCTAAGAAAATAGAGGGTGGGTGGGCGGGGCTAGTATCGGCTAAGATAAGATTGATTTTGTCAAATAACATTTCTTTCTAGTTCTTTCGTTAGGAAATAATTTATTAGTGAATGTTCTAGTAAATTGCGTAGATACAAAGAACAATAAAAAAATTTTTGCCAACATAAAGTATAAAAATATATTTATAAAAAATATATTTACCTACCAATGGAAGAGCACTAAATTTTAATCACATTCTTGAAAAAAAAAAGAAATTGCATTTAGAACTACCCATATTAAAAAGAGAAAAATATTTAAATATCTATTTATTTTGGGCTGATTTCATTTAATCTTTTCTCGACGTTTCGTAACCCTTGAGTATGAAAAAGTAAATGTTCCGTTTTCAGTCTGTCTATTGCTTTGTGTCTCTCTGTTTTTTTATGCCTCTGTTTTTCAGTCATCCTGTTTTTCTGCCCCTCTATCTTTCTGTTCCTCTTATCTTCCTATCCTTCTGTCTTTCTATGCCTCTGTTTTTCTATTCCCCTTATCTTTCTGTCCTTCTATCTTTTTTCCGTCTGTGTCTTTCTGTCACTCCAACTTTCGGTCCCTCTATCTTTTTATCATTCCGTCTTTTTGTTCCTCTGTTCCCCTGTTTTTCTGCTCTTCTGTCTTTCTGTCCTTTTGTCTTCCTGTCCCATCTTTCTGTTCCTGTCTTTCTTTCTTTCTTTCTTTCTACCTGTTTCCTCTTCTGTCTATCTGCCTCTCCTTCTTTCTGTCTGTCTCCCTTTCCGTCTTTCTCCCCTTCTGTTTTTCTCTCCTTCTGTCTTTCTTCCCTTGTCTTTCCCTTCTGTCTTTCCCCCTTCTGTCTTTCCTCCCTTCTGATTTTCACCCCCTTCTGTCTTTTTCCCTTTCTGTCATTCCCCTTTCTGTCTTCCCTCTTGTCTTCCCTCCTGTTTTTCCCCCTTCTGTTTTTCTCCCCTTCTGTTACTCGGCCCTTCTGTCTTTCCCCCCTTCTGTCTTTGTCCCCTTCTGTCTTTCTTCTCTTCGGTTCATCCCTCCCTTCTGCCTTACCCCTTCTGTCGTCCCCCCTTCCGTCTTTCCCCCCTTCTGTGTTTCTTCCTTTGTCTTTTTCGCCTTCGGTCTTTCCCCCTCATTCTGTCTATCTCCGCTTCTGTCTGTCTGTTTGTCTCCCCTTCTGTCGGTCTGTCTGTCTGTCGCCCCTTCTATCTGCCTGTACCCCCTTCTGTCTGTCTGCCTCTTCTTCTTTCTATCTGTTTCCTCTTCTGTCTATCTGCCTCTCCTTCTTTCTGTCTGTCTCCCTTTCCGTCTTTCTCCCCTTCTGTTTTTCTCTCCTTCTGTCTTTCTTCCCTTGTCTTTCCCCCTTCTGTCTTTCCCCCTTCTGTCTTTCCTCCCTTCTGATTTTCACCCCCTTCTGTCTTTTAACTCCCTCTGTCTTTCCCCCCTTCCGTCTATCCTCCACTTGTTTTCCCCCTTCTGTCTTTCCCTCCTTAACTTTCTCCCATCTGTCTTTTCTACATTTCTGTTACTCCCCCCTTCTGTCTATACCCCGATCTGTCTTCCTCCCGTTCTGTCTTTGTCCTCTTCTGTCTTTCCCTTCCCTTCTGTCTTTCCCCCTTCTGCCTTTTCCTTCCCTTCTGTCTTTCCCCCCCTTCCGTCTATCCCTACTTCTGTTTTCCCCCCTTCTGTCTTTCCCCTTTTTGTCTTTTCCCCCTTTTGTCTTTTGCCCCTTCTGTCTTTGTCCCTTCTGTGTTTCCGCTCCCTTCTGTTTTTCTCCCCTTGTCTTCCCTCCCTTCCGTCTATTCCCCACTTCTGTTTTCCCCCTTATGTCTTCCCCTTCTGTCTTCTCTCCTTCTGTCTTCTCTCCTTCTGTCTTCTCCTTTCTGTCTTTCCCGCTTCTATCTTTCTCCCTTCTGTCTTTCCTTCCTTAACTATTCCCCTTCTGTTTTTCCTCCCCTTCTATTACTCCCCCCTTCTGTCTATCCCCCGATCTGTCTTTTACCCCTTTTGTCTTTGTCCTCTTCTGTCTTTCCTCCCTTCTGTCTTTCTCCCCTTTTGTCTTTCGATTCTTCTATTTTTGTCCCTTCTGTGTTTCCGCTCCCTTCTGTCTTTCTCCCCATTTGTCTTTCGCCCCTTCTATTTTTGTCCCTTCTGTGTTTCCGCTCCCTTCTGTCTTTCTCCCTTTCTGTGGTTCTTCTCTTGTCTTTCCCTTCTGTCTTTCCCCCTTCTGCCTTTCCCCCTTCCGCCTATCCTCCACTTGTTTTCCCCTTTATGTCTTTCCCTCCTTAACTTTCTCCCATCTGTCTTTTCTCCCCTTCTGTTACTCCCACCTTCTGTTACTCCCACCTTCTGTCTATCCCCCGATCTGTCTTCCTCCCGTTCTGTCTTTGTCCTCTTCTGTCTTTCCCTTCCCTTCTGTCTTTCCCCCTTCTGCCTTTTCCTTCCCTTCTGTCTTTCCCCCCCTTCCGTCTATCCCTACTTCTGTTTTCCCCCCTTCTGTCCTTCCCCTTTTTGTCTTTTCCCCCTTTTGTCTTTTGCCCCTTCTGTCTTTGTCCCTTCTGTGTTTCCGCTTCCTTCTGTTTTTCTCCCCTTGTCTTCCCTCCCTTCCGTCTATTCCCCACTTCTGTTTTCCCCCTTATGTCTTCCCCTTCTGTCTTCTCCTTTCTATCTTTCCCGTTTCTATCTTTCTCCCTTCTGTCTTTCCTTCCGTAACTATTCCCCTTCTGTTTTTCCTCCCCTTCTGTTACTCCCCCCTTCTGTCTATCCCCCGATCTGTCTTTTACCCCTTTTGTCTTTGTCCTCTTCTGTCTTTCCTCCCTTCTGTCTTTCTCCCCTTTTGTCTTTCGACCCTTCTATTTTTGTCCCTTCTGTGTTTCCGCTCCCTACTGTCTTTCTCCCCTTCTGTCTTTCTCCCCTTTTGTCTTTCGCCCCTTCTATTTTTGTCCCTTCTGTGTTTCTCCCTTTCTGTGGTTCTTCCCTTGTCTTTCTCTTCTGTCTTTCCCCCTTCTGCCTTTCCCCCTTCTGTCTTTCCTCCCCTTCTGAATTTCACCCTTACTGTCTTTTACCTCCCTTTGTCTTTCCCCCCTTTCGTCTATCCCCAAGTTCTGTTTTCCCCCTTCTGTCTTTCCCCCCTTCTGTCTTTCCACTCCCTTCTGTCTTTCTTCTCTTCCGTCTATCCCTCCTTCTGTCTTTCCCCCTTTTGTTTTACCCCTTCAGTCGTCCCCCTTTCGCGCTTCTGTGTTTCTCTTTTTGTCTTTTTCGCCTTCGGTCTTTCCCCCTCATTCTGTCTATCTCCCCTTCTGTATGTCTGTTTGTTTGTTTCCCCTTCTGTCTGTCTGTGCCCTTTATGTCTGTCTGTTTGCCTCCCCTTCTGTCGGTCTGTCTGTCTTTCCTTCTGTTTGTCTGTATCCCCTTCTGACTGCCTGTCGCCCCTTCTATCCACCTGTCGCCCCTTCTGTCTGCCTGTACTCCCTTCTGTCTGTCTGTCTCCCCTTCTGTCTGTCTGCCTCTCCTTCTTTCTATCTATTTCCTCTTTTGTCTATCTGCCTCTCCTTCTTTCTGTCTGCCTCCCTTTTCGTCTTTCTCCCCTTCTGTTTTTCTCTCCGTCTGTCGTTCTTCGCTTGTCTTTCCCTTCTGCCTTCCCCCCTTCTGTCTTTCCTCCCCTTCTAATTATCACCCCTTTCTGTCTTTTACCTCCCTCTGTCTTTCCCCCCTTCCGTCTATCCCCCACTTCTGTTTTCCCCCTTCTGTCTTTCCCTCCTTAACTTTCTCCCGTCTGTCTTTTCTACCCTTCTGTTACTCCCCTTTTCTGTCTTCGTTCCGTTCTGTCTTTGTCCTCTTCTACTTTTCCCCTCTCTTCTGTCTTTTCCCCTTCTGCTTTTTCCTTCCCTTCTGTCTTTTCGCCCCTTCCGTCTATCCCAACTTCTCTTTTCCCCCTTTCTGTCTTTTTCTTCCCTTCTGTCTTTCCCCCCTTCTGTCTTTTGCCCCTTCTATTTTTCTGTCTTTTTCTCCCCTTCTGTCATCCCTTGTCTACCCTCCCTTGTCTTTCCCCCTTCTGCCTTTCTCCCTTCTGTCTTTCCTCCCCTTCTGTCTTTTACCTTCCTCTGTCTTTCCTCCCCTTCTGTCATTCCCTCCTTAACTTTTCCTCTTCTGTTACTCCCCCCTTCTGTCTATTCTCCGATCTGTCTTTTTCCTCTTCTGTCTTTGTCCTCTTCTCTCTTTCCCCTCCCTTCTGTCTTTCCCTTCTTCTGTCTTTTCCTTCCCTTCCCTCTTTCCCCCTTTCTGTCTATCCCTATTTCTGTTTTTCCCCCTTCTGCCTTCCCTTCTTCTGTCTTTCCCCCTTCTGTCTTTCTCCCCTTTTGTCTTTCGCTCCTTCTATCCTTGTCCCTTCTGTGTTTCCGCTCCCTTCTGTCTTTCTCCCCTTCTGTCTTTCTTCCCTTGTCTTTCCCCCTTCTGTCTTCTCCCCTTCTGTCTTCTCCCTTCTGTCTTTCCCCCTTCTGTCTTCCCCCTTCTGTCTTTTCCTCCTTAACTTTCCTTCTGTCTTTCCCCCCCTTCCGTCTATCCCTACTTCTGTCTCTCCCCCCTTCTGTCTTTTCCTTTCCTTCTGTCTTTCCCCCCCTTTCGTCTATCCCTGCTTCTGTTTTCCCCCCTTCTGTCTTCCCTCCTTCTGTCTTTCCCACTTTTGTCTTTCGCCCTTTCTGTCTTTGTCCCTTCTGTTTCCGCTCCCTTCTGTCTTTCTCCCCTTTTGTCGTTCACCCCTTGTCTTTCACCCCTTCTGTCTGTCTCCTGTTCTGTCTTTCTCCCCTTCTGTCTGTTTGTCTCCCCTTCTGTGTGTTTGCCTCCCCTTCTGTTTGTCTGTTTGTATTCCCTTTTATCTGCCTGTCTGCCTGTCCCACCTTCTGTCTGACAGTCCTCCCTTCTGTCTGCCTGTCCCCCCCTTTTGTCTGTCTGTCTCCCCTTCTGTCTGTCTGCCTCTCCTTCTGCCTGTCTACCTCCCCATCTTTCTGTCTGTCTCCCCTGTCAGTCTTCTGTTTTTCTCCTTTTGTCTTTCACCTCTTCTGTCTTTCTTCCCCATTCTGTCTGTGTCCTCTTCTGTCTCTCTGTTTTTCTGTCCCTATGTCGTCTTTCCCTTCTATCCTTTTATCCCTTTGCCCAATTGCCCCTCGGTTCTTTTTGCCCCTCTCTTCTCCTGTCTTCTGTCCCTCTGTCGTTCCGGCCTCCTGTCTTTCTGTCTCTTTAGTCCTCTGTCTTTTTGTCCTTTTATCTATCTGTTCCTCTCTTTCTACTCCTGTCTTTGTTTGCTTCTGCCCTCTATCCTTTTGCCTCCTTACTGTACTATTGTCTTTCTGTTTTCTGTCTTACTGTTCTTCTGTTTTTATTTCATTCGTAAGCGACTGAATTTTCACCGCCTATCTTCGTTTTGTATTTCTGTAGGAATTCAATTCCGTCCATTGATTTTCATGACCACTGAAGTATACAAAATAAATAGGTCACTAGAACAGCTAATCACAAGGAAGTTTGCATTTGTCAAGGACGCCCTATAATCTACGTCCTTGGGAATCGCTGAGTTTCAATGACATATGACGTAACACAGTGGCGGGGGCGGCGCTTTTAAAACTTTTAACAAAACTGAAAAGTACAATTTGGTATATAGTTCATTGGAATAACACAGTACTAAGTACAATTGATTTATTGATCCACTCCACAGTTCTGATGACGCCATCTCAAGATAGATAAGAACAGATGTTTAATTTCGTCGCGTCATCGATTTGTTTTCTTTTAATAAAGTGTGATTTTGAGTAAAATATTTGGTTGACATCACTCATGTAATGAGAAAAAGAAGTTTGTCTAAGTTGCAATCCTTGGAGAACTCCTGAAGTTATATTTAAAACAAAAAATTTATTAAATTAAAATTTGACCAGGCACCACAAACAACTCTAGTGGTAGCGGGGTTGCCTATCTTTGTTCGATATAATTTATTTCTGTTCCCGAAACGTCTCTAGGCGCCTTTTTTGACTATGACAAGTGTCAAAAACCGGCCACTTGATTAAAAGTTTTGTTGAAATTCGAATCGAATTTTGCGGCGGCTGACGCCACTGCGGCAGTGTGTCGTCGGCGGCCGATTCGAAAATCGTGTTGGCGGGTGCGCAGTGCCCCCGTATCGATCCCGGTAAAAATTAATAAAGCATCAGTGTGTTGGGGTTGTTGGGTCCAAATGCAAAATTCCAGTGTAAAAACCGACTTAAGTTAAACCTCCCCGTTTGAGTCTCCGCAAAGTAAGTGAGCGTGCGTTCGTGTAGACCTGCATGCGGTCGTCCCATGCCTGTGTCATAACCGCCCCCACCGCCCCCAGATTCGCCTCGACCACCTCACGTTTGTGTATTCTGCTTCTAGCTTGGTCCGGCATCGAATGAGCCATAAAACTGTAAAAGCATCATTTTCAGACAACATTAAATTGAGTATAAATTGGTACAGTAAAAATCAGATTAATCGCATGTTCTGTTCGTGCATGGTGCATGGGGGGGGCCGGGGGCGGCGGGTCCCGGCCGCACGCCACTGGCGCGGCCTTGCCGCCGGCCAATCGCGGCGCGCCTGCCAGACGCCCCTGCCAGAAGCCCCTAGCGGCCGGCCAATCGGCGCGCCGGCGACTTTTGGCATTATCCCGATCAAAAGCCAGTCAAAAAAGTTGAGAATCTAGCTTTTCAACAAGAAGAGAAAATTCTAAAGCGTGAGAGTTTGACAGTTCGAGGTTCTTTTGCCCGCTGAACAGGCGATTTGTGGTAAATTTCACGTAAGTACAGCGGGGCCACGAGTGATCGGGACGAGATCAATCATCGGATGGTCGCATGCTTGTCAAAGATGTTTTTGATCGTTTTGTATTGATAAAACTAGAGCATGGTCGTGCCAGTTATCTGTTATGGCAGAGCTGGTCGCTCGGGCCAGCGTCCGCATCAGAGACTTGAATGCTTCGTACAAGAGGTGTCTTCGAGCACCTGCACATGCACCAGCGGCCCCCTCGTAATTCTATCGTGTTCCAGGTCCAGTAACAAGCAACACAAAACAGACAAGATGACCGACCGCAAAGCCGTCATCAAGAATGCCGACATGAGCGAGGACATGCAGCAGGACGCGGTGGATTGCGCCACACAGGCCATCGAGAAGTACAACATCGAGAAGGTAACTAAGACGGCGACCCGACACGCTAAACCGGGGGGCTAACTCGATCCACACTCGAAAGCGACACCCTTCTAAGGGTTCCACGTGATTCTAATATCATGACTACCGTAAGTAAAGTCGGCCGCAAACTTCCAGAAAAAGACCACAGTGAGGAAATTACACCAACATTCCGTGCAGTGCAAATCGTGTTTTAGAGTGAGGTTAGAGTACACACAAATTACACACGACGTTCCAACACCGGCTAAAAGTGTCACAATCAATTGCGGGATCAGCGTAAACAGATAATTTTTAAATTACGCAGCTGAGTGAAAACAGCGCCATATTAGTTGAAGTGTCAAAACTAGTAACTTTCGAAAAGTCCCTACATTAATACAGTGTATGAATTTTAGCAATGGAAAGATAGGCAACCAAATATACTAATAAAATTGAAAACCAGCAAACGTTTCTGTATTCAGTAATTACTAATTAGTGACAATATTGTACAAAGTTAGTCGAGGTCACCAAAGGGTGAAAGTATAATTTTAAGCATGGCGGTTGTGTTGGCAACAATGGTATTTCAAATTCATACAAAGTCTAATTTATTCCAATAATTCTGAATACATACATTTTCTAAAAAAAAAAACTTAATTTTTTGTGTTTGTACAAATGTAAATTCCTTACTAATAACGGGTTTTTTTACGTTTTCTGAAGTCACTAGCATTGAGTGAACAAATACAAAGCTTCTATTGAAATTTATTAATTCATCCCCTGTAGAAAACTGATGACGTCATCTGAACAGAATGTCAAATGTCTCTTTTGTTGCATTTTTTTTACCTTTTTTGACTCTCTTTGTAGTCGTTTTTCGTTTTTTTATTATTTTTTTTCCTTTTTCTGATTGTCGCTTTTTGTAGAAATTTTTTGTTGTTTTTTTTGGTCATTTTTTTATTGCATTTTTCGTGGACTGTTTTGTTCTCTTTTGTCACCTGTGGTAATCGAGTTTTTCGATTGTTGGATTTAAAAAATTGTTCGTTTTCCATTTTTAATTTTTGAATGTTTCGATTTTCCATGTTTTGACTGCACAATTTTTCGTTTTATTTTTCGGGTTTCTAATTTTTGGAAGTTTCAAACTTTAGAATTTGCAATTTTTCAGTGTAATTTTTTGTTTTGTTATTTATTTATTTGCTTTACTTTCCCATTTTTCAGTTTTTCAATGTTCAGATTTTGATTTTTCTTTCTTTTCATTTTTTCTATTTGCAATTTTTTCTCTTACAACTTTGGATTTTTATTATTTAACATCTTCTCAATTTTAGATTTTTCAAGTTTTCGTTTCTTCAATTTTTGATTTGTTATTTTTCTAGTTTTTCATTTTAAATATGTAAATTTAGAAACTAAAATCGGAAAATTAAAGAAATTGGAAAATCGGATAATCGAGGAATCTAACAAATGAAAAATTTAAAATTTTGAAAAATCAAAGATTGAAAATTTGAGAATTGAAAAATAAAATCGGGGAAATGAAAATTAAAAAACCTAGAAAATGAAAAATAACAATCAAGAACTTGAAAAATTGAGGAAATGAAAGAATGAAAACTCGAAAAAAGAAAATTCGAAAAATAAAAGATTGGGGAACTTAAAAATCAAAAAGACGAAATATTGTAAAATCGAAATAAACATTTAATAAATAAAGGAAACGAAAAAAAATTGTGGAAACGAAAAATTGAAAAAGTCGATAGATTAAAAATTGAGGAACTTACAAATAGAAAAAGCAAACATTTTTTCGTTTTTTCAATTTCAATTTTTAGATTTTTCAGTTCTCGGATTTTTCAATTTTCGGGTGTCCCAAGCTTTAAATTTTGAAAATTTTTGATTTACAATTTCACGAGTTTTCAACTTTTTAATTTTTAGATGTTTTAATTTTTCACATCTTCTATTTCTCGATTTGTAATTTTTCGTTTCGGTTTTTATTTTCTTTTTTCTTTTTCAGTTTTCCAATGTTTCGATTTTATAATTTTAATTTTTTCAATATGAAATTTTTTTCTTCAATTTTTGATTTTCCATTTTTCCAGTTTTCATTTTAAATATGTATCTAATAATAATACAAATTTTTAAATGTTTGACTTTTTCAATTTTAGGATTTTTGAAATTATTGGATTTTAATTTTTGAATTTCTCCTTATTTAATTTTTCACTTTTTGTTTTTTCATTGTTGACAGTTTTTCGTCTGTACAATTTCGACCATTTTTCGATTCGCGATTTTTTCATTTTTGAGTTTTTTTTTGTTTCTTTAATTTTTAGATTTTTCAATTTCCAATTTTTCAGTTTTTCGACTCTTTAATTTTTCATTTCTTCAATTTTTCGACCTCCAATTTTTTAGTTTTCATTTTTTTGTTCCTTCAGTTTCTGATTTGCAATTTTTCGAATTTTTAACTTCCGATTTTCCAACTTTTGAATTTTTCAATTTTTAGATTTTGCTTTTTTTCCATTTGAGTTTTTCCAGTTTTTAAATTTTGAATTTTTCGTTTCGGATTTTTATTTTCTTTATTTCATCAATTATTCGATTTTTTATGGATATTCCTATGTTAATTATTTCTTCAATTTTAATTTTTTTTTTCGATTTTTCTTTCTCTTTGTAATTGTGAAAATTTTCAATTTCTAGATTTTTCAATTTTTAGGTTCGCAATTTTTTTCGTTTTCATGTCAGTTTTTGGGTTTAACAGTTGTTTTTTATTTGATTCGTTTTTTCCTGTTTCCAATTTTCGTTTTATAATTTTTTTTACAATCTTTAAGTTTACCAAATTTTATTTTTTAATGTTTCCATTTTTCATTTATTCAGTTATTCGATATTCCACTGTTTCGATTTTTTAGTTTTTCAGTTTTTAATTTTTCGATTTTCCGATTTTTGATTTTTCAGATTGTCGATTTTTTAATTTTTTCACGAATTTTCGAATTTTCAATTTTTATATGTTGCAAGCTTTAGATTTTGAATATTTTTGATTTAAAATTTCACGAGTTTTCAATTTTTTTCTTTTTTAGATTTTTTAATTTTTCATTTTTTCAATTTTCCAATGTTCTGATTTTATAATTTTTCTTTTTTTTTTAATGTGAAAATTTAAAATTTTTCGATTTGCAGCTTTTATTTTTCAACTTTTATATTTTTTAATTTTTCGTTTTTTCAATTTAAAATTATTCAGGTTCTCGATTTTTTAATTCTTCGTTTCCTCAATTTTTAATGTGCCATTTTTCTAATTTTCATTTTAATAATAATTATAATTTTTTAAATGTTCCACTTTTCCAATTTTACGATTTTAGAAGTTTTCCATTTTTCAATTATTGGATTTTATTCGTTTTCCAAATTTTCAATTCGATTCGTTTTTCCTTCCCTCTAGTTTTTCGATTCTTAATTTTTTTCTATTTTCCAATTTTTTAATTTTTTTAATTCTGGATTTTTCAATTTTTTGGTTTTCTTTGTTTTATCAATTATTCGATTTTTGGATGTTTCGATTTTATAATTTATTTTTTCAATTTTTATAATTGCGATTTTTTCATTTTTTTGTTTTTTCAAAATTTAGATTCTTGATTTTTTCAATTTTATAGGTTTTTCTTTTTCTTTGTCATTGCGAAAAATTTCTCAATTGTTAGGCTTGCAATTTTTCTAGTTTTCATTTTAATTTTTGGGTTTTTCAGTTTTTTTGATTCGATTCGTTTTTTCACGTTTTCCAATTTTTCGACTTATTAATTTTTTACAATTTTGAAGTTTCCCAAATTTTATTTTTTCAATGCTTCGATTTTTCGTTTCTTCAGTTATTCGATTTGCAAGTTTTCGATTTTCCACTTTCTCGATTTTTTAGTTTTTCAATTTTTCAACATCGATTTTTCTACTTTTCGGTTTTCCGGTTTTTGATTTGTCGGTTTTCATATCATTTTTAGATGTTCCAAGCTTTGGATTTTGAAAATTTTCGATTTACAATTTTACAAATTTCAGACTTATTAGTTTTTCGAATTTCAATTTCCCGATTTTTCAACGTTTCGAATAAAAAAAATGGAAAAAATGTGAAGAATTTTAAAATTGGATTTCAAAAATTAAAAAGTGTAAATAAAATCAGTTTTCTAACTTTTGAATTTTTCAATATTTAGATTTTGCAGTTTTTCGATTTGAGTTTCTCCAGTTTTTAGTTTTTATTTTAAATTTTCAATTTTTCGTTTCATATTTTTATTTTCTTTATTCTTTATTTAATCAATTATTCGATTTTTGGATGTTTCGATTTTATAATTAATTTTTTCAAATTTATCGGTTTTTCTTTTTCTTCGTCATTGTGAAATTTTTCAATTTTTAACGCTTGCAATTTTTCTAGTTTTCATTGTAATTTTTGAGTTTTCCAGTTTTTTTGATTCGATTCGTGTTTCCAATTTTTCGATTTATTGACTTTTTGCGATTTTGAAGTTTCCCAAATTTTATTTTTTCAATGTTTCGATTTTTTAGTTTTTCCATTTTTTCAACTTCGATTTTTCTACTTTTGGATTTTCCAGTTTTTGATTTTTCAAATTGTCGATTTTTTAATTTTAATGTTTTTTTACTTTTCGAATTCTCGAATTTTCAATTTGTAGATGGTCCAAGCTTTAGATTTTGAAATTTTTCGATTTTTCAACATTTCGAATAAAAAAAATGGAAAAAAAAATGTGAAGAATTTTAAAATTGGATTATCAAAAATTAAAAAATTAAGACTTTAAAATTATAAAGTCGAAGGAAACATTGAATAAAATAAAGGAAATGAAAAAACGACAAATTGTGAGATAAAAACGTGGAAATTTTTTTTGTTTAAAAAAAAAGAAAATAATTGTAACCTCAAATTCACACTTTAATATTTTAAGTACGTACTCTTTTGATGAAACGAAACTATATATCTTAAGAAAAAAAAGACAAAGAGTAAGCCCCACCCACCCTCCCCTATGTGACGAATTTTCATTCGCTCTTAGACAAAGGGGTGGAGCATAATTGCAAATTCCATATTTCCCTACAAAAATTTACGATTTTTCATTTCTTCAATTAGTCGCTTTCCAATTTTTCAATTTTCCGACTTTTGAATTTTACAGTTTTTAGATTTTGCGATTTTTCGATTTGAATTTCTCCAGTTTTTAGTTTTTAAATTTTCAATTTTTCGTTTCGGATTTTTATTTTCTTTATTTTATCAATTATTCGATTTTTGGATGTTTCGATTTTATAATTTATTTTTTCAATTTTTCAACTTATCGATTTTTTAAATTTTTATATTTTTTTACTTCTCGAGTTCTCGAATTTTCAATTTTTAGATGTTCCAAGCTTCAGATTTTGAAATTTTTCGATTTTTCAACATTTCGAATAAAAAAAATGGAAAAAATGTGAAGAATTTTAAAATTGGATTATCAAAAATTAAAAAATTAAAAAGTATAAAATGAAGACTTTAAAATTATAAAAATCGAAAGAAACATTGAATAAAATAAAGGAAATGAAAAAACGAAAAATTGTGAGATAAAAACGTGGAAATTCTTTTTGTTTAAAAAATAATAATAATATAATTCTAACCTCAAATTCACCCTTTAATATTTTAAGTACGTATTTTTTAGAAGAAAGAAAGCTATATATCTTAAGAAAGAAAAGGCTGAGCATAATTGCAAAATATAATGTCTTCCGGCCATTGAGTGAAATAGCCAAGTTTAATGACAAGTTGAGTTTTAATCAAGGATTATCACGATGTCAGGGCAAATTTTGGAAGCTTTATTTAATTTTGATTGTACAGTGTGACACTAATTGACTGTGGTTTTCTGGAAGTTAAAGGAGTTTTACAATTTCTTTTTCGTTTTGTGCGACTGATGGTTGCCCCCCGGCTTAGCCAATGGCGTTGCGCCACGTGCCGCGACTGACAGTGTCGTTTTCAGGATATAGCGGCATACATAAAGAAGGAATTCGACAAGAAGTACAACCCGACGTGGCACTGCATCGTTGGTCGGAATTTCGGGTCGTACGTGACCCACGAGACGCGCCATTTCATATATTTCTACTTAGGACAGGTGGCGATACTGCTGTTCAAGAGCGGTTAAATTATCATTCCCCACCCGTACAGTATTCCAAGGAAAATTTAACATAAAGCCGGACTTCTAATAAGCTATGTTTTTGTCATTTCTCGGTTCTATTCCATTTTCGAATCAGGTGTGTTTTTGTAACGGTGGTTTGCGAGTGGGTGACTCGAAAATGGTTCCCTAAATCCACAACAGGGGTGTTATTCGTGTAACAATTGGAATATATTTTTGTTCATTCAACGATTTTTATTTGTATAGCGTTAAGTAGAGTCGGGAAATGTTGATTTCGTCAAAATCACGAGTTCAACGCACAATTAGTGGACAGCGTGTACGGTTATATGGTTTCTAGTGGCTTCAAAGTCTGCACTTGAATCAACATTTCTTTAATTATTTACATTGTTTGCCCCATTCCCCAAATGGATGTTTGTTGCTAAATATATTCAACTAAAACCTATTCCGTAAGTTGTTAATCTATATTATATAAGCCATCTACTAAAGTTGTACTTAAGTCTTGTTATACTTGAATGTAGATTATATTTTTTGTTTACTACTTGGATGATGATTTGTGGAGCGTTCTCGTCAGGTGACGTCCATTTCTAGCTAACGGCGCTCCAAAGTGATATAACCGTTTAGTTCTTTTAAATGACTTGAGTCACTGCCGCCACATTTAGAAGAACTAACATTTTTTGCTTGCTTCTGCCAACTCTTTCCTTACGAAAACACATTCCACCAAACGTATTTTCGACAGGAAGGAAACCACAAAATATATTTTTGTATTAAAAAATACCTAAGGGATGGGCATGGTTTTTAAGAATAGCGACTCGCTTTGTTTTTATTAAATAGATTATAGGCAATCGTTATTATTTAGAAGAACTAAATTCAAATATCGCTTCTTTTTCTCTCACTCATTAGTATAGGGAAATTAACTGTATTTGATGTTATCATTTTTATCCCCCGTTCCTTTCATCCCCATCCCGCAGTCCCGGACCCCATCTTGTACCCTTATTTTCATACTCTGTATCTCCATATGTAGCAAATACATGGTTAAAGATTTCACGAGTTTGAATTACCCGCCCTTGGAATTGGCATTTTGATAGGTCGGCCAATCGCGACGCAGTGTTTGAATGTGGCGCCACGGATAACGCTGGAGGGCAGTGTTGCCATATCTACAGATTGAAGACATGTCAACAATTTTAGGTGAAAATTAACGAAAAGGCGACGTGTTTTTTTAATTTCTATTCGCTCAATCAAAAGAAGGTAGACGGTCTCAGGTTAATGCAAATATATTTTTTTTTGTTTTCTTCACTTTCTTGAGTTTTCAATTTTTCGATTAAAAAATTTCCCGAATTCCCAGTTGTGAATTTTTCAATTTTTACTTTTTTAATTTTTCGATTCCACAATTTTCCGATTTGCAATTTTTTGTTTCGATTTTTTATTTTCCAATTATTTAATCCTGCGTTTCTAATTTATAAATCTAATTTTTTCAATTTTTGTTTCTTCAATTTTTAGATTTGCAATTTTTGAGTTTTTTGTTTTTCTTGTTTCTTCAATTGTTCTATTTGAAAAGAGTTTTCAATGGTGAATTTTTAAATTTTTCATCTCTTCAAATTTTAGATTTACAATTTTTCGTTTCGGTTTTTTATTTTCTCCATTTTTTCGGTTTGCGTTTTGTCAATTTTTCGATTTAAAAACTTGTCGAGTTTTCAATTTTGAATATTTCAAGTTTTAGTTTTTCAATTTTTCGATTCTTCAATGTTTCGTTTCTTCAAATTTTCGATTTGGAATTTTTCGTTTCGATTTTTTTATTTTTAATTATTCTATTTTTCAATGTTTCTATTTCGTAATTTTACTTTTTTAAAATTTCTCTGCGTTTTTTAATTTTTAGTTTTTTTTATTCTCCAATTGTTTGATCTTTCAATGTTTCTATTTTATAATTTTAATTTTATTCAGTTTTTCGTTTCTTCAATTTTTGGATTTGCGATTTTTCAATTTTTCGTTTTTCTAATTACTTTTTCGATTTAAAAATTTCTCGAATTTTCAATTAGAATTTTTCAATTTTGGTTTTTTAATTTTTGGATTCTTCAGTTTTTCATTTCTTTAAATTTTCGATTTGCAATTTTCAGCTTCGGTGTTTTATCTTCCCCATTTGAAGAATTTTTTCGATTTTTCATTGTTCCCATTTTATAATTTTAATTTTTTCAATTTTACATTTGCAATCCAATTTTTAATTTTTCATTTTTTCGATTCGCCAATTTTTCATGTCTTCAATTTTTCGATTTGCAATTTTTCGTTTCGATTTTTTATTTTCTCTCTTTATTTTTCAATTACCAAATTTTTCAGTGTTTCTATTTTATAATTTTAAAATTTTCAATTTTTCGATTTGCGATTTTTCGATTTAAAAATTTCTCGAGTTTCCAACTGCGAATTTTTCAATTTTTCGTTCCTTTTTTTTTCTTTATTTTCCAATTGTTTGATCTTTCTATGTTTCTATTTTATAATTTTAATTTTATTCAGTTTTTCGTTTCTTCAATTTTTGGATTTGCGATTTTTCAATTTTTCGTTTTTCTAATTACTTTTTCGATTTAAAAATTTCCCGAATTTTCAATTAGAATTTTTCAATTTTGGATTTTTAATTTTTGGATTCTTCAGTTTTTCATTTCTTTAAATTTTCGATTTGCAATCTTCAGCTTCGGTGTTTTATCTTCCCCATTTGAAGAATTTTTTCGATTTTTCATTGTTCCCATTTTATAATTTTAATTTTTTGAATTTTACATTTGCAATTTTCCAATTTTTAATTTTTCATTTTTTCGATTCGCCAATTTTTCATGTCTTCAATTTTTCGAATTGCAATTTTTCGTTTCGATTTTTTATTTTCTCTCTTTATTTTTCAATTACCAAATTTTTCAGTGTTTCTATTTTATAATTTTAAAATTTTCAATTATTCAATTATTTAATCCTTCTATGTTTCTATTTTATATATTTTAATTTTTTCAATTTTTCGATTTGCGATTTTTCAGGTTTTCGTTTTTCTTATTTCTTCAATTTTTTGATTTTAAAATTTCTCGAGTTTTCAATTGTGAATTTTTCAATTTTTAATTCTTCAATTTTAGGGTGCTTCAATTTTTCATTTTTTAATTTTTTGATTCTTCAATTTTTCATTTCTTCAAATTTTCGATTTGCAATTTTTCGTTTCGGTTTTTATTTTCTTCATTTTTAGAATTTTTAGATTTTGTAATTTAATTTTTTTCAATTTTTCGATTTGGGATTTTTCAATTTTTCGCCTTTCTGGTTTCTTCAATTTTTCTGTTTAAAAATTTCCCGAGTTTTCCAGTTGTGAATTTTTCAATTTTTACTTTTTTAATTTTTCCATTCTTCAATTTTCCGATTTGCAAAATTTTTGTATCGATTTTTTATTTTCTTTATTTTCCAATTATTTAATCCTTCTGTTTCTATTTTATAATTTTGTTTTTTTCAATTTTTCGTTTCTTCAATTTTTCGATTTGCGATTTTTCAATTTTTCGTTTTTCTTGTTTCTTCAAATTTTCGTTTAGATTTTTTATTTTCCTTATTTTTCAATTATCCAATTTTTCAACGTTCCAATTTTAAAATTTTATTTTCTTCAATTTTTTGTTTTTCTTATTTCTTCAATTATTTGATTTTAAAATTTCTCGAGTTTTCAATTGTGAATTTTTCAATTTTTAGTTCTTCAATTTTAAGGTTCTTCAATTTTTCGTTTCTTCAAATTTTCGATTTGCAATTTTTCGATTCGGTTTTTATTTTCTTCATTTTTAGAATTTTTAGATTTTGTAATATGATTTTTTCAATTTTTTCGGTTTGGAATTTTTCAATTTTTCGCTTTTCTGGTTTCTTCAATTTTTCTGTTTAAAAATTTCCCGAATTTTCCAGTTGTGAATTTTTCAATTTTTACTTTTTTAATTTTTCGATTCTTCAATTTTCCGATTTGCAATTTTTTGTTTCGATTTTTTATTTTCTTTATTTTTCAATTATTTAATCCTTCTGTGTTTCTAATTTATAATTTTAATTTTTTCAATTTTCCGTTTCTTCAATTTTTCGATTTGCGATTTTTCAGTTTTTCGTTTTTCTTGTTTCTTCAATTAAAAAAAAATCGCAAGTTTTCATTTTTTAATTTTTAGTTTTTCCATTTGTGCTTCAATTTTTCATTTGGATTTTTTATTTTCTTTATTTTTTCAATTTCAAATTCAAATTTCCGATTTACAATTTTTCGTTTTGATTTATCAATTTTTCGGTTTTCTTGTTTCAATTTTTCGATTTAAAAATTTCTCGAGTTTACAATTGCGAATTTTTCAGTTTTTCAATTTTTCGTTAATTTTTTTATTTTCCAATTGTTTGATCTTTCAATGTTTCTATTTTATAATTTTAATTTTATTCAATTTTTCGTTTCTTCAATTTTTAGATTTGCGATTTTTCAATTTTTCGTTTTTCTAGTTTCTTCAAATTTTTTTCCCGAATTTTCAGTTAGAATTTTTCATTTTTGGTTTTTTAATTTTTGGATTCTTGAGTTTTTCATTTCTTCAAATTTTCGATTTGCAATTTTCTGCTTCGGTTTTTCATTGTTCCCATTTTATAATTTTAATTTTTTCAATTTTACATTTGCAATTTTCCAATTTTTAATTTTCAATTTTTCGATTCAACAATTTTTCATGTCTTCAGTCTTTCGATTTGCATTTTTCGTTTCGATTTTTCATTTTCTCTTTATTTTTCAATTACCAAATTTTTCAGTGTTTTTATTTTATAATTTTAAAATTTTCAAGTTTATCGTTTCTTCAATTATTCGATTTAAAAATTTCTCTGAATTTTCAGTTGTGAATTTTTCAATTTTTTATTTTTTAATTTTTCGATTTGCGATTTTTTTCTTGTTCAATTTTTCCACTTAAAAGTTTCTCGAGTTTTCACCAGAATTTTTCGATTTTTAGTTTCCTAATTTTTTATTTCTTCAAATTTTCGATTTGCGATTTTTCGTTTCGGTTTTTTGTTTTTTCCATTTTTAGAATTTTTCGGTTAAATAATTTAAAATTTTTCATTTCTTCGTTTCTTCAATTTTTCGATTAGGGATTTTTCAATTTTTCGTTTTTCTTGCTTCTTCAAATTATCGAGTTTTCAATTGCGAATTTTTCAATTTTTAGATTTCGAATTTTTCGATTCTTCAATTTTTCAGTTCTTCAATTTTTCGATTTGCAATTTCTCGTTTTGATTTTTTATTTTCTTGATTGTTCAATTATTCAATTTTTCAATGTTTTTATTTTGTAATTTTAATTTTTTCGATTTTTCGTTTCTTCAATTTTTTTTAATCTTCACTTTTTCAATTTTTCGATTCTTCAATTTTCCATTTCTTCAATTTTTCGATTTGCAATTTTTCGTTTCGATTTTTCATTTTTCAGTTAAATTTTTCAATGTTTCTATTTTATAATTTTATTTTTTTTAATGTGTAGTGCAATTCTTCTATTTTCGATTTTTCTATTTTTCTTCTTTCTTCAATTTTTCGAATTAAAAAATTCTCGAGTTTTCAATTTTGAATATTTCAATTTTTTGGGTTCTTCAATTTTTCGTTTCTTCAAATTTTCGATTTGGAATTTTTCGCTTCGATTTCTTTTTTTTTTATTTTTTGATTACTCTATTTTTCAATGTTTCTATTTCGTATTTTTTTTTTAATTTTCGTTTCTTAAATTTTTCTATTTGCGTTTTTAATTTCTCGTTTTTCTTGTTTCTTCAATTTTTCGATTCTTCAATTTTTCGTTTCTTCAATTTTTTGATTTGCAGTTTTTCTTTTCGGTTTTTATATATTTTTTTTATTTTTCAATTATTCAATTTTTCACTGTTTTTATTTTATGATTTAATATTTTCAATTTTTCATTTCTTGAATTTTTCGATTTAAAAATTTCTCGAGTTTTCAGTTTTGAATTTTTCAATTTTTCATTTCTTCAAATTTTCGAGTTGCAGTTTTTCGTTTCGGTTTTTTATTTTCTTTATTTTTGCAATTTTTCGAGTGTTCAATATTCCGATTCTATAATTTTAATTTTTAAAATTTTTCGGTTTACGATTTTTCAATTTTTCGAGTTTTCAATTTTTAGTTTTTCAGTTTTTCGATTTGCAATTTTTCGTTTCGATTTTTTATTTTCTTTATTTTTCAATTATTCAATTCTTCAATGTTTCTATTTTATGATTTATTTTTTTTAATTTTTCGTTTCTTCAATTTTTTGATTTAAACATTTCTCGAATTTTCAGTTTTGAATTTTTCAATTTTTTAAATTTTCGATTTGCAACTTTTCGTTTCGGTTTTTTATTTTCTTATTTTTTTTATTTTTTTTTGAGATTTTGTAATTTTATTTTTTCAATTTTTCGATTTGGGATTTTTCAATTTTTCTTTTTAAGAATTTTTCGAGTTTTCAATTTTTAATTTTTCGATTCTTCAGTTTTTCGTTTTGGTTTTTTATTTTCTCCATTTTTACAGTTTTTCTTCTTCAATTTTTCGATTTAAAAACTTCTGAAGTTTTCAATTTTTGGTTTTCAATTTTTCATTTTTTCAAATTTTCAATTTTTCGTCTCTATTTTTTATTTTCTCTATTTTTACAAATTTTCTAATTTTCAATTTTCCGATTTTATAATTTTAATTTTTTCAATTTTTCGTTTTTCTTGTTTCTTCAATTTTTCGATTTAAAATTTCTCGAGATTGCAATTGTGAATTTTTCAATTTTTCGATTTGAAGTTTTTCATTTTCCCCATTTTTACAATTTTTCGATTTTTAATGTTGCGATTTCATACTTTTAATTTTTTCAATTTTTCATTTCTTCAATTTTTCGATTTGCGATTTTTCAGTTTTTCGTTTTTTTTTGTCTCTTCAGTTTTTCGATTAAAAACTTCAATTTTGAATTTTTCAATTTTTAGTTTTTCAATTTTTTGGATTCTTCAATTTTTCATTTTTTCAAATTTTCGATTTGCAATTTTTCGTTTCGATTTTCTATTTTCATTATTTTTCAATTATTCAATTTTTCAATGTTATGATTTAATTTTTCAATTTTTCATTCCTTGAATTTTTCAATTTTTCGTTTTTTCAATTTTTCATTTCTTTAAATTTTAGATGTGCGACTTGTTTCGGTTTTTTATTTTCTTCATTTTTTAATTTTTTCGAGATTTTGTAATTTTATTTTTTCAAGTTTTGGATTTAAAAACTTCTCTTTTTAGTTTTCAATTTTTTGGATTCTTCAATTTTTTATTTTCAAATTTTCGAATTGCAATTTTCGTTTCTATTTTTTATTTTCTCCATTTTTACAAAAATGTTCCAATTTTTAATTTTCCGATTTTATAATTTTAATTTTTTCAATTTTTCCTTTTTCTTGTTTCTTTAATTTTTCGATTTAAAAATTTCTCGAGATTTCAGTTGTGAATTTTTCATTTTTTCGATTCTTCAATTTTTCGATTTGAAGTTTTTCATTTTCTCCATTTTTACAATTTTTCAATGTTACGATTTTACACTCTTAATTCTTCAATTTTTCGATTTGCGATTTTTCGGTTTTTCTTTTTTTTTTGTCTCTTCAGTTTTTTGATTAAAAATTTCTGGAGTTTTTAATGTTGAATTTAACCATTTTTAATTTTTTCAATTTTTCGATTCTTCAATTTTTCATTTCTTCAGATTTTCGATTTACATTTTTTTTGTTTCTTCATATATGATTTTTTTTCATTTTGTTTCTTCATTTATATGCAATTATTCGAGTTTTCACTTTAAAATATTTCCTGTTTTTCGATTTTCCAGCTTTTGGAACTTTCAATTTTTTGCAATTTCACGAGTTTTCAATTTTTGATTTTTCAATTTCTCATTCTTTCAGTTCGTTTCGATTGTCTTTATTTTTCAATTTTTCGGTTTCTTCAATTTTAAATTTGGATTTTACAATATTTCGTTTTTCCGATTTTGCACTTTTTCCATTTTTTAGTTTCTCAATCTTTCGGTTTTTCAATTTTTCAATTTCTCGTTTTCCAGCTGTTCTATAGTTTTTTTATTTTTGTTTTTTCAATTTTACAGTTTTGCATTTTTTTTCATTTTTTTTTCATTCGAAAAGTTGAAAAATGAAAAAATTGAAAACTCGAGAAATTTTAAATCGAAAAACTGAAGAAAGAAAAAAAGTCAAGCCAAAAGTATAATAATGTAGGAATTATGTATAGTCTGACATGTGTAAAACGTACTATTTATACATGAATAAATTCAAAATAAAATTCCGTGTAGCTGTCATTCTTTATGAACCGCGCGAAAATTCAAACCCACCAAATCCCCTTCGGAACCCACCGACAAATTCCGACGAACCCCCGATCATCACGTCGACAGATCCGGCAACACCGCTCTCTCAATTCACGTGACGCCCTCCAACCAATCGTCGCACAGCAACATTTCAACCGAAGACGCTTCTGTTGTGACCAGTGCAACGTGATTTTCGCCAGTTTTCCGCAAAATCTTCACTGAAAATGTAGAAAAGTCGTCGCACAACTCGCCAGAAATATCACCGACGCGGTTTCCGCCAATTTTCATTTAGGACCGCCACCGCGAGTGGCCCCCGATCACCATTCTCAACCACAACTCCGACGACAGAAAACGCCCCAGCATGGTAAAAGGTAGGTTCTGCATGGTATTTCAACCCGCTTTAGCGCGAATTTCCCTTGATATAGCCCGTACGACTCTTGGGAAAACTTTGTTTTTGTCGGCCATCTTGGCTAGGGTGGGTAAGTGCAGGACGTGATCGGTTGTTTTGTTTGTTGCGAAAATGGTGATAAAGCGTGTTTTGGGGCCCCAAATTCTGTGATAGGGGGTTGTAGATGATTTGGGGGCGGTTTGAGACTGAGTAAGCGATGTGGGGGTTTGTGATTGAGTGAGTGACATAACCTCACTTTGAGTGTTTTGTTGTAGGGCGCAGGGTGCGCGCTGTGGTGGCGTGCGCCCGCAGCGACGACTGCTGTTCACCGAATCCGAAGCGCCGCGGCCCCAAAATCGTGCTCCCGGCCAAGCCCCACACCCTCGACGCCTTCTTCCAGGTTCGTATCAATTTCGCGCCCCCTCGCTCTATCGTCTCGTTTCAGGACAAACCCCACGACTTCAATAAGCAAGCTGACAGCGGACAGGAGATTTTATTCACATTAATGGCAAAGGACGAAAGTAAGTAACCTATGATTTGCTCAATCTGGTGCTGGTGCGGCGGCTGGTGGAGCCCCGTCTGCTCGACATCTCGTTGAAGGAGTGGGGCGGCGAGCTGGCCGTGTGCTGGCGCTCGTACGCCTCCCGGTAGCTCTGCAGCTCGACGTCGTCGTCGGTGTTGCGGCGCTTGATGGGGGGCGGCGTCTGCAGGTACTTCTCGAAGTGGGAGTCCCTCTGATTGTTGGGCTCGGGCGGCGGCTCCGTCTGGGGGTCGCTGGATTCGTCCTGCTTGGCGGCGTGCTCGACGCTGCTGGTGCGACTTCCCGGGTGGCTGCTGGGGTGCTCGTGGCTAGTGCGGCTGCTGGTGCGGCTGCGGAGCTGCTCGATGGACGAGCGCTTCTGGGAGTGCTGCGAAGTTACGCTGGAGGAGTGCTTGCTCTGGATGGAGGATTTTTTTTCGAGGGGTTCGCCCTCCAAAGACTGTTTGTCTTCGGGCGGCGGCGGCTCTTCTGCCTTCTCCGCCTCCTCTGGTTTTTTTTCGAGGTCCTTCTGCCTACAATTTTCCAAACAACAAACGTTTTAACACGAAAATAAAAAAAAAATACCCAAGGCCGCTTCCAACGGTCCCGATTTTCTTATCCATGATCTCCTCCAGGTCGTGGACTTCTTGACTCAGCGTGTGGAGTAATTTCCCAGACTGGCTCACCAGATTCATGTAGTGTTCCTCGATCTCCTTGATCGTCTTGTCGTAGTTAATCTTAGCTTGTAGCCTCTGATTCAGGCTTTTTGTTAACTAAAAACAACTATTCCATCACATAGCATAGTCGCATACATAGACACTAACTCACCAGCGTCAATTTGAACGACAACTTTTCGATTTCGTTCTCGATTTTGTGCTTTTCTTCTTGTTGTTTCGTTATTAAATAGGTCATTTCGTCCCTTTGCGCCTTCAAAAGTGCCATCAGCTTTACGATTCGCTCATTGTTGTTGCGTAGCTCGGTCCCAGATTCACTCATTTCATTGTAAATTTATGGCGGATCTCCAAATTTCCTATCATTTGATAGTTTGTAAAGCGACTTTTTGATTTTGACAGTTGACGTTGATGTTCCCAAGACACCTGTGCTCGTCAAGTCGTTGACGTGCAGCGAGGGACCGCCGACGCCACACAGGATCGAGCTGTGCCTTGAGGAGGGAGCGAAAGAGGCGAAACAGGAGAAGCCACCAAAGAGCAAAAAGAAGTACGGCGTTTTGTAGTTTTAGACGGTCAAGTAATGGGAGAAATTTTGAAGTTTTCAAACAGTTTGATGACGTTGTCCCAGAAATTTAGTTGAGGTTTTTTCAATTTTATGAAATAAGATATTCGTTCGATTGTGGTGTGTTCAGTTTTTACTCAAAATTTTATAATGGAAAACTCACTTGAAACAAACGCCTAATCTTATAATTTTTCGAAAAATCTGGACTTATTTACCTTCGACCATTTATTTGATATTACAATTTTTTGTTTCTTCAGCTTTTCATTTTACGTTTCTTCAATTTTTCAGCTTCTCAATTTTTAATTTTTCGATTTTTAAATCTTTCATGTTCTCTTTTTTTCAAGTTCCTGATTTTTGTTTTTCATTTTTACGATTTTTTGTAATTGTCATTTTCCCGATTTAATTTTTTTCGCCATTTTGAAGAATTGAATAAACGGAAAACTATAAAATCGAAACATTCTATAATTTTTCGTTTATTCAATTCTCAAATTTTCAATGTTTGAATTTTTAATTTCTTGATTTTCTAATTTTCAAAATTTTCAATTTTGCAATTTTTGGATTCCTCAATATCCAATTTCTTTAATTTTCAATATTTTGATTTTACAATATTTTGTTCTTTCGATTTTGTAATTTTCCAATTTTAAAGTTTCTCAAATTTTAATGTTCGGATTTTTCAAATTATCGTTTCTTCAATTTTTCAAGTTCTTGATTTTTCATTTTTCCTATTCTTTAATTATCATTTTCCCGATGTGTTTTTTTTTCAATTCTCAAATTTTCAAACTTTGATTTTTCAATTCCTCGATTTTCCAACTTCAGTATTTTTCAATTTTGCAATTTTTGCATTTCTCAGCATCCGATTTCTTCGATTTTAAATATTTTGATTTTACAATATTTTGTTCTTTCGATTTTGTAATTTTCCAATTTTTAAGTTTCTCAAATTTTAATGTTCGGATTTTTCAAATTATCGTTTCTTCAATTTTTCAAGTTCTTGATTTTTATTTTTCATTTTTCCTATTCTTTAATTATCATTTTCCCGATGTGTTTTTTTTTCAATTCTCAAATTTTCAAACTTCGATTTTTCAATTCCTCGATTTTCCAACTTCAGTATTTTTCAATTTTGCAATTTTTGCATTTCTCAGCATCCGATTTCTTCGATTTTAAATATTTTGATTTTACAATATTTTGTTCTTTCGATTTTGTAATTTTCCAATTTTTAAGTTTCTCAAATTTTAATGTTCGGATTTTTCAAATTATCGTTTCTTCAATTTTTCAAGTTCTTGATTTTTATTTTTCATTTTTCCTATTCTTTAATTATCATTTTCCCGATGTGTTTTTTTTTCAATTCTCAAATTTTCAAACTTCGATTTTTCAATTCCTCGATTTTCCAACTTCAGTATTTTTCAATTTTGCAATTTTTGCATTTCTCAGCATCCGATTTCTTCGATTTTAAATATTTTGATTTTACAATATTTTGTTCTTTCGATTTTGTAATTTTCCAATTTTTAAGTTTCTCAAATTTTAATGTTCGGATTTTTCAAATTATCGTTTCTTCAATTTTTCAAGTTCTTGATTTTTATTTTTCATTTTTCCTATTCTTTAATTATCATTTTCCCGATGTGTTTTTTTTTCAATTCTCAAATTTTCAAACTTCGATTTTTCAATTCCTCGATTTTCCAACTTCAGTATTTTTCAATTTTGCAATTTTTGCATTTCTCAGCATCCGATTTCTTCGATTTTAAATATTTTGATTTTACAATATTTTGTTCTTTCGATTTTGTAATTTTCCAATTTTTAAGTTTCTCAAATTTTAATGTTCGGATTTTTCAAATTATCGTTTCTTCAATTTTTCAAGTTCTTGATTTTTATTTTTCATTTTTCCTATTCTTTAATTATCATTTTCCCGATGTGTTTTTTTTTCAATTCTCAAATTTTCAAACTTTGATTTTTCAATTCCTCGATTTTCCAACTTCAGTATTTTTCAATTTTGCAATTTTTGCATTTCTCAGCATCCGATTTCTTCGATTTTAAATATTTTGATTTTACAATATTTTGTTCTTTCGATTTTGTAATTTTCCAATTTTTAAGTTTCTCAAATTTTAATGTTCGGATTTTTCAAATTATCGTTTCTTCAATTTTTCAAGTTCTTGATTTTTATTTTTCATTTTTCCTATTCTTTAATTATCATTTTCCCGATGTGTTTTTTTTTCAATTCTCAAATTTTCAAACTTCGATTTTTCAATTCCTCGATTTTCCAACTTCAGTATTTTTCAATTTTGCAATTTTTCGATTTCTCTTGATCCGATTTCTTTAATTTTCGATATTTGGATTTTTCAATTTATCGGTTCCTCAATCTGCGATTTTAATTTTTAAATTCCATAATTTTTTTAATGTTTCTTCGGATTTTATAATTTTTCTTTTATTCAATTCTTCATATTTTTGGTCTTTGGCTTTTCATTTCCTAGATTTTCCAATTTTTAAATTTTTTCTCAGTTATCCGATTTCTTCAATTTTTAATATTTCGGTTTTACAATATTTCGTCCTTTTGATTATTTAGTTCCCCATTTCTAATCTTTAGATTTTTCCATTTTTCATTTCGTCAGTTTTTCAAGTTGTTGATTTTTATTTTACATTTTCATTTTTCCAATTTTATTTTTTTCAATGTTTTGAAGAATTGAATAAACGAAAAATTATAATACCGAAACACTTTATAATTTTTCGTTTATTCAATTCTCAAATTTTCAATCTTTGACTTTGCAATTTTTGAATTTTTCAATATCCGATTTTTTGAATTTTAATTATTTCGATTTTATAATATTTTGATTTTTCGATTTTGAAGTTTCTGAATTTTTAATTTTTGGATTTTTTAATTTATCAATTTTTTGATTTTTATTTTTCATTTTCCCGATTTTTTATTTTCCATCTTCTCGATTTTATATCACAATGTTTTGTCTTTTCATTTCTTTAATTTTTTTTAAAGTTTCTTTCGATTTTATAATTTTTCGTTTATTCAATTCTTTAAATGTTTAATCTTTGATTTTTCAATTTTGCGATTTTTGAATTTCTCGATTATCCCATTTTCCGATTTCTTTAATTTTCATTATTTCTATTTTTTACTTTTTCTGTTTTAATTTATAATCTTTCGAATTTTCAATTCTTCGTTTCCTCGGTTTTTCAAATTCTCAATTTTTATTTTTCATTTTCTCGTTTTTGTATCTATGTTTTTCATTTCTTTTATTTTTTTAATGTTTATTTCTATTTTATATTTTTTTTATTTCACAATTTTTGATTTTTTCATTTTCTTTAATTTTTAAATTTTCCGTTTTTCAATCTTCGGTTTCACAATTTTTCGTTTGTTCAACCTTTAATTTTTTCAATTTCTCGACTTTCAGATTCTTAAATTTTTCAATTCTTCAATTTTTCAATTTCCCAATTTTTAATTTTTCGGTTTTTCTTATTTCCTTATTTTTCCAAGTTCTTGATTTTTATTTTTCATTTTCCCGATTTTTTTTATTTTTTATTTTCCCGATTTTTTCATTTTCATTTTCCCGATTTTATTTTTTTCATGTTTCGAAAAAATGAATAAAAGAGAAATTATAAAATCGAACCATTTTATAATTTTCCGTTATTCAGGTCTTTGAATTTTTAGTTCCTCGATTTTCCAACTTCTAAAATTTCAATTTTGCAATTTTTGGATATCTTAATGTCAGATTTCTTTAATTTTCAGTATTTCGGTTTTACAATGTTTTGCAATTTTTTGATTTTTAAGTTTCTGAATTTATTTATAAGTTTCTGAATTTTTAGTCTTTGGATTTTTTAATTTTTCGTTTCCTCAATTTTTCAAGTTCTTGATTTTTATTTTTCATTTTCACGATTTTTTATAATTTTTTTTTCATATATTTTTTTTTCATTTCCTTTATTTTCTTAACATTTCTTTCGATTTTATAATTTTTCGTTTATTCAATTCTACAAATTTTTGATCTTGGATTTTTCTATTCCTCGATTTTTCAATTTTTGGATTTCTCAATTATCCTGTCTCTTTAATTTTAATTCTACAATATTTCGTCTTTTTGATTTTTTAGTTCCTCAATTTTTAGTCTTTCGATTTTTCCAATTTTTCATTTCGTCAATTTTTTGTTTCTGTTTTTCTTTATTTTTAAAATTTTTTCCATGTTTCAATATTTTGATTTTATAATTTAACTTTTTTCAATCTGAAATTTTTGGATTTTTTCTGGTTTGTTTTTTAAACATGTCATAATTAAAAAAAAATGCAATTTTTCGCATTTTTTCAGTGTTTCGAGGTTTCAATTTTCTTCGATTTTTAACTTCGAATAAAAAAAATGGAAAAATTGTAAAATGAAAAAACGAAAACGTATCAAATGACAACTGAAAGATGTAAAAACTGGAAATCAAGAATTTAAAAAATTGTAACGAAAAATCGAAAATTTGAAAGATCGATAAACTGAAAAATGGAAAAGACGAAAATACGAGAACTCCAAAGGTTGAATTTAAATAGTCGAAAAATCGGATGGTAAAATCGAAAAATTAAAAAAAAAAAAATGAAAAATCCAGATATCGAAATATTAAAAATCGAATAATCGAGAAATAGAAAAATCGAATAATTGAAAAATTAAATTAAAAAGTTCGTTTTTAGAAAGTCGGCAAACTGAAAATTTGGAAAACCGAGAAATCCAGAAACCGAAAAGTCAAAAAATCGAAAAATTGAAACATCGAAAAAATCGTTAAGTCGAAAACTTGAAAAAAGGAAGATCGAAAAATTGTAAAATCCAAAAATTAATATAAAATGGAAAAAGTGTAATTTCCAAAAATTGAAAAATACAAAAATTGAGAAAGCGGCAAGTCGAAGAATTGCAAAATCTAAAATTTAACAAAAGGAAAAATTGAAAAATTAAAAAGCCAAAAAGTTAATAAAAATGAGAAAAGGACAAATCAAAAAATCTAACTTTAAAAACGAAAAAATTGAGAAACCGAAACATTGACAAAAGATAAAAATCGAGAAATCGAACATTCCAAAAATTGAAAAATCGAGAAATCAAAAAATCTAAAATTAATAAAAAATCGTTTCTTCCGTTTTTTATTCAATTTTGATGCATTTTTTCACTCTTATTCGATTTTTGGATCTTACAGTTTTCGACTTTGCAGTTTTGGCGATTCTATGATTTTTCGATTTTATGTTTGTGATTTCCAATTTTTTGATTCATTTTAAGTTTCTCGATTTTTAGTTAATCGATGTTTCGATTTTTTCCTTTTTTTTTTGGATTTTCGAATTCTCAACTTTTCAAATAAAAAAAAAAGAAAAATTGCAAAATTGTAAATTTGAAAAATCGAACATGAAAATGTATAAAATGAAAAAAAATCAAAAATCCAAACACTGGAAATCAAGAACTTGAAAAATCTAAAAATTAAAAATTGAGAAACTTAAAAATCGAAACAGTGCAAAATCGAAAAAACGAGAAAGAGAAAGATTGAAAATTTGAAAAATTGATAAATTGAAAAATAAAAAACTCGAAACTCCTAAAATACGCGATTCGGAAAGTCGAAAGAATGTCAAATGTTCTTATTTCCAATTTTTAGATTTTCCATTTTTTACTTGGTTTTTTAATTTTTGATTTTTCAATTTAACAATTTTGCGATTTTTCCAATTTTTTTATTGGAAACGTTGAAAAATCAAATCAAAAATCGAAAAAATTAAGATTAAAAAAATTGGAAAACACAAAAATTGTAAAATTGAAAAATTATAGAATCGTCAAAATTGTATAGTCAAAATACTGTAACATTGAAACATAGAAAAATGGAAAATTAAATATGGAAATATTGAAAAGTTAAAAATCCAAAAATTGAAAAATCGCCAATAAATTAAAAGTTTTATTTTTTATCATTCAATAATTGAAAAATGGTAAAACTCTAAAATTGAAAAAGTGAAACGTTGTAAAAATTATAATAATTATTAGATATATAGAAGAATGAAAAATTGAAAAATCGAGTAACTGAAAATTCTAAAATTGGGAAAATTACAAAAAAAAAAAATACAAATCGAAAAACTGAAAATCCAAATATCAAAAAAAAAAGAAAAATAAAATCAGAACAATTTTAAAGTAAAGCAAATAAAAAACCAAAACGAAAAATTACCCATCGGAAAATTGAAGAAATGAAAAATAGAAAAATTAAAAATTGAAAACTCGTGGAATTGCACATCGAAAAATTGCTAATTTTAAAGACTGAAAAATCCAAAAGTTGGAAAATCCGAAAAATGAGAAATTGAAACGAAAAAACGTAAATTGTGTGTCGGAACATTGAAAAACAGAAAAATGCAAGAATAAAGATTAAAATCTGAAACCAAAAGTAGCAAATCGAAAATTAGAAGAAATGCAAAATTAAGAATCGAAAAATTGAAAAGTTAGAAAATTTAATTCCAAGAATTGCAAAATATCGAGAAATAATATTTAATAAATGGATAAGTTTTAAAATCCAATATTTGGAAAATAGAAAAATTTTAAAATATTGAAATTGAAAAAGTAAAACATTTTAAAAATTAGTCAATATTAGGTACACATTTTAAATAAAAATTAGAAAAACTGCAAATCAAATTGAAGAAATAAAAAATTGAAAAAATGGAGTTGGAAAGGCAAAAATTATGGAATATGTGCATTGAAAAATCGAAAAATTGTAGAAATAAATTAAAAACCGAAACCAAAAGTTGCAAATCGAAAATTTGAGGAAATGAAAAATTCAAAAGTTGGAAAATAAAAACTTGAAAACTTGAAGAAACAAAAAAAAAAGAAAAATTAAAGAATTGAAAAATTCATGTCAGAAAAGCTGCGGAAGTGTTATTTACGCCTTCAGATCATTTCGACAGAACTTCCCTAGCCCCAGAAGTACGATAAATCATACCCAGCTTATTCAAATAATCATAAAATTTGATTTTGCGGATTATTATTTATTTTCAAGTTGAAATAAAGATACGTATGTAAAGTTAAAGTTCAAAATGTTGTTGTACAATTTTGGTATTATATTTTTCCAAAAATCTGGATATCTCGCGTAAAAACTCAACGCGGATTCATAAACCACACATGTAGGACTACGCTATTTTATACAATTTAAAACTCATCTATTGTGTAGACTTTCGAGGTGCCGTCATCAGGTTGTTGTGGGGATAATCAGCCGAATTTAAAATTATCTTGACTTTGTAAAATACAGAAAATCGGGTATTTTTAGGGCGAACCAAATGAACCACCGGGTCACGGATTACTTCCCGGTGCGGCGGTCCGTCCGCAAGACGAAGAGCACCGTCATGGAGGAGCGGCAGCGAACCTTGGAGCGGTTGCTGCGGTGCGACGTGGAGGAAGGGCTCGAGGTGCGATATTTCGCGGACAAAGGCAGGGGCGTGGTCACGTCGCGGCCCTTCACGAAGGGCGACTTCGTGGTGGAGTACAGCGGCGACTTGATCGACTTGAACGAGGCCAGGAGGCGCGAGCTCAAGTACGCGCAGGACATGAACACAGGCTGCTACATGTATTACTTCAGGCACAATAATCAACAGTATTGGTGGGTTCAGGGTGTTTTCACACGAAATTGGGCTTTATTGAAATTTCGTTGATTTTTAGCGTGGATGCTACGGCCGAGACTGGAAAATTGGGAAGGCTCGTGAACCATTCCAGGACCGGAAATCTCATTACCAGGACCGTATCGGTCGACAATAAGCCGAGATTAGTACTTATAGCCAAGGATGACATCAAGGCTGGCGACGAGGTCACGTACGATTACGGGGACAGGTCGAAGGAGTCGCTCAAGTATCATCCGTGGCTGGCTTACTAATTTAGTTATTTATGTTTATTTATTTTGTTTTTTCTTCTTTTTTTTTTTTCTCTTGACATTGGGACGACTAGAGGTCCGTTGTTATTTCTATGTGCACTGATGTATTTTTTTCAAAGAGGTTTAGATACGGACAGTCACTGCCTTTTGTAATACTTTTTATTTGTTGCTCGAATTGACCGAGTTGACTATTTTAATAGTAAGATTCGTGCTAAGTAATGAGGTAATAAAGGATTTGACTTGAGGGGGTTTGGAGTTGTCTGACCCAAAGTCCTGGGGGGTTATTGCGTCGTTTGGGTTAAAATTGGCTTGTTATAGTTTAATTTGTACAAATGATTTATAAATAATAACATATTTCCAAATTGAAAAATGGTGGAACGCCGAATTCTTAAATAGATGGCTATTTTTAGTCAAATAAGTAACACTATCAAGAACTATTAGATAGAAGCTAAGTATATGGTTTACATTATGATAAATGTACAAAAGTATGTATGTTTATTCTGTTTGTAAAGAAAAAAATGTGAGTTTGGTATTAATAAACTCGAATTTATAAAAAAAAGCGTTGAAATAATAATAATTTAAGTTGGTGGATGAAATAGTGTATTGAGTTCAATATTAATAAGGTAAGTATTGCGTAGAATAACCAAAGATACACCCAGAAAATGTCTAGCAGATTATACAGGTGTATTGTAAATTTTAAGTGATTTTGATTATACAGTGTGTATATATTATGTACGATTTGAATAATTAACGTTTCCTGCATAAAGTAATGCCTGTTCTTTTTTCATTACCTTTTTATTAATATTGTATAATCTATGACTTCTTTCTGTTTATCTGGTATTAATAAAGTTGTTATAACATTCTGCTTTTTTATTTGTTCATTGAGACGAATTTAAAATCTGATTTTTTTTAAACAAATTGTATTGATTTGATTTATCTACCAAGGTGATGCTTCAAGTCTCTCTTGCTGTTTTTCCTTCCTTTGTTTTATTTCGTTGCTTTTTCTTGCTATCTTTTATTGTATCTTTCGCCGATTTTTTTAACTCTTTTTCCACATTAGTTTGGTGAATAATAATTGCCCCTTCCATATTGATTTTTGTAGTATTTTTGTGTTCGTTCTTTAACTGTTTGTTGCGTATTTAAATATTTTTTTCGCTTTTTTTTGTGTTTTTTTGTCACGTGCTTTATAGGCTTTTTATCGCTTTTTCCTCTCTGTTTAAAGTTTTTGCAGTTTTTTTTGTCCAATTTTTGTTGTTTTTTTGGTCACCTTGTTAATAGCTTCTTGCCCGTTTTTTTGTGGCTTTTTTATAGCTTTCTTTTTTCTGCTGTCAACTTTTTTTTGTCATTTTTTCCGCCTTTATTGTCCTTGTTTTTGTCGTTTACTTGTTCCGATTTATTTTTGAGGTTTTTTTGGTCTCATTTTTTTTACCGTTTTTTTTTGTTGTTCTTTTTGTATTTTTCAGTCTTTTTCTTTCATTTCTTAATTCATTTTTTGTACGTTTTCCTAGGTCGCTTTTTTGACTTTTTTTTTTTACTGTTTTTTGTATTTTTTACATTTTTGGTCACTTTTTGCTGGCTTTTTCTGTCGTACTTTTTCTTGCCTCTTTTGGTCGCCTTTTTTTGTGGATTTTTTTTCGTTTTTTCCCATATTTTTGAGGGTTTTTGGTCTCCGCTTTTTTTGACCTGTTTTTTATTGCTTTTTTTGTAACCGTTTTTCAGTTTTTTCTTGTCTTTTTTTTCATCGAATTTTTGTAGCCTCTTTCTTGGTCGCATTTTTTTGTTGTCCTTTTTTTGACGATTTTTTTGACTGTTTTCTTTCACCCTTTTTTTCTTGCGGTTTTTCAGGATTTTTTGTTGCCTTTTTTCAGTGTTTTTTGGCGTTTTATATTTTTTTTGACGCCCCTTTTTTGTCATCTTTTTTTGCAACCGTTTTTTAGTCTTATTTGCCTTTTTAATCGATTTTTATAGTCTTTTTGGTCGCTTTTTTTTTTTTTACTTTTTTTTGTCGTGTCTTCGATCTTTTTTGGTCAAGTCAGGTGTGATTTTTTTTTTATTTTTTTGGGGTGCCCTTTTTCCAGCTTTCTTAATCTTTTTTTTTTGTAATTTATCGTTTTTTGACTCTTGGGTTGCCCTTCTTTTCGTATTTTTTCCCAATTTTTGTCCCTTTTTTTGCTAACTTTTTCTTTATCCTATTTTTCTTACAGTTTTTTAAATCTTTTTTTGTTGTCTTTTTTCAGTTTTTTTGTTGTCTTTGGTCATTTTTTTATTTTTTTTGGTCAAACTTATTGTGGTTTTTCTCTCGTCGTTTTTTTAATCGTTTGTTTTTCGTTCCCTCAAATTTTCAAGTTCTTGATTTTTGTTTTTCATTTTCCCGATTTTTTAATCTTCATTTTTTCGGTTTTATATCACAATTTTTCATTTTTTCGTACCTTTATTTTTTCAACGTTTTTTCGATTATTCAATTCTTCATATTCTTGAACTTTGAATTTTCAATTCCCGAATTTTCTAGTTTTTAAATTTTTCAAATTTGCAATTTTTGGATTTCTAAGTTATCGGATTTTCAAATTTCATTAGTTTTCAATTTACAATTTCAAAATCCGAAAAATCGAATAATTGAGAAATTGAACATCGAAAAATCGAAGTAACCCAAATGAGTAATTAAAAATTGAAAAATTTAAATTAAAAAAAAATCCGTAAATCGAGAAATTGAAAAATCCGAAAATCCAACTATAGAAAAATCTTGAAAAATTAAAAAATTGAAAAATCGACACAAAAAACCAATGATCGAAAAATCAAAAATTTCAAGAACCCAAAAATTGAAAAGCTGAAATATTTAAAACCAAAAAAAGGAAAAATGGAAAGTTTCAAAAATTAAGAAATCGAGTAATCAAAACTAGAAATTTGAAAAATTGAAGAAATCGGAAAATCTAAAATTTTAAAAACAAAAAAATTAAGATATTCAGGAATTGAAGGATAAAAAAATTGAAAAATCGAAACATCAAAAAAACGAAGCATTCAAAGATCAAAAAATTATTTTTTCTTTAATCGAAAAATTGAAAAACCGAAAAATTTAAAACCAAAACATCGAAACATCTAAAAATTGAACATTTTTTTTTGGTCAAACATTGTAGTTTTTCTTTATTGTTTTTTGCTGCCCTTTTCTTTTCATCTTTTTCTTGGCGTTTTTTAATCTTGTGACCATCTTTTTACCTTTTTTGTTTTTTTCTCGATTTTATTCGTATTTTTTGTTGCCTTTTTCCTAGGAACCTTTTTTCATGTCGTTTTTTAATCACCTGTTTTTTAAAAAGATTTTTGGCACTTTTTTGGCATTTTTTATAGGTTTTTGTTGCATTTTGATATTTTTTTCTATTTAATTTTTTGCTTTCCTGTGGTAGCCTTTTTTCCCGCATTTTTTGTTATTTTTGTATTTTTTTTAGTCGTCTTTTTGTCATTTTATCTCTTTCGTTTTGACACTTTTGCCACCTTTTCTGTTATGTTTCTTGTCATCGTTGTTATCGTTTTTTCTTTGTCACTTTTTCAGCGTTTTTTCTTTGTCACTTTTTCAGCGTTTTTTAATACCTTTTTTTGAGCCCTTTCTTAGAGCCTTTTTGTTGTTTTTTTAAATTATTTTTCTCCATTTTTGTCGTATTTTCCTGGGAGCCTTTTTCTCTTGACGCTTTTTTTCTTGTCCTTTCTTTTGTCGTTTTTTAATTGCCTGTTTTTTTAAAACGTTTTTTTTTTGACAGCCTCTTTTTTTATCGCTTTTTTTGTTATTTTTTTGGTCACCTTTTTTTGTGGTTTTTCTTTGTTGCTTTTTATTCCCCCCTTTTGTTTCATCTTTTTTTTACCTACTTTTTTTTTAACCGTTTTTTCCTCTTGTTTGTTGCATTTTGATCTTTTTTTTGTTAAATTTTACATTTTTGCGGTAGTCTTTTTTTCCAGATTTTTCTTATTTTTTGTATTTTTAGTCGTAGTCTTGTTATAGATTTTGTTGTTTATTTTATTTCTTTTTTCGTTTTGACACTTTTTACCATCTTTTCTGTTACGTTTGTTGATTGCCTTGTTTTTGTTACCTTTTTCATCGCTTTTGTTTTGTGACTGCTTTTTTCGCTCTTGTTTTGAAAAAAAAAAAAGATTTTTTTGTTGACTTTTGTCGTTTTTTATTTTTTTTTGCTCAAACTTATTGTGGTTTTTCTTTATTGTTTTATCTTTCTCATGCTTTTTTTGGAGTTTTTTTTATCCCTTTTTTGTGCCCTTTTTGAACCCTACTTGTTTTTTTTAATTTTTTTTTTCATTTTTGTCGTATTTTTTTGTGGTAGCTTATTCCTCTTGTCGCTTTTTTCTTGTCCTTTCTTTTGTCGCGTTTTTTGTAGCTTTTTTTTTCGACGAATTCGTTTTTTTGTTATTTTTTGTCCACTTTTTTGTGGTTTTTTCGTTGTTGGTTTTTATCTCCCCTTTTTTTTCTCATCAATTTTTTTGCCTACCTTTTTTTAACAGTTTTTTTCCTCTTTTTGTGCATTTTGATTTTTTTTGAAATTCTTTGCTTTCTTCCGGTAGTTTTTTTCCACACTTTTTCTTATTTTTTGTATTTTTTAGTCGTTCTTTTTGTTACAGTTTTTGTCATTTATTTTTTTGGCAGTTTTTTTTACCATATTTTGTAGCCTTTTTAAATACCTTTTTTGCCGCGTTTTTTCTAGCTTTTTTATCGCTTACTTTTTTCCACGACTTTTTTGAGCCTTTTTGTTTTGTCGTTTTTTTTCTATCTTTTTTTCATCGCTTTTTTGTGATTTTTTGGTCACCTTTTTTATGTGTTTTTTTCTTTGTTGATTTTTACTTTTCGCTTTTTTTTTGATAATTTTTTTTTTCTACCTTTTTTTAACCGTTTTTTCCTCTTGTTTGTTGCATTTTGATCTTTTTTTTTAATTTTTGCATTTTTTTCAAAAATCGAAATTTAGAGAAATTGGGAAATCGAAAAATCGAAATGTGAAAAATCAAAAACTTGAAATATCGCAAATTTCAAAAATCGAGAAATTAGGAAATCAAAATAGCGAAAAATTGAGAAATTTGGAAACCTTAAAATCGAAAATTTGAAAAATTGGGGAATTGAAATATCGAAAAATCGAGAATCAGGAGGGAATTCGAAATCGCGAAAAATTGAAAAATCGAGAATTCCAAAATGTTTAAAAATTGGGGAATCGGGAAACCAAAAAGCCCAAAAATTGCGAAATCGAGAAACTGAAATAT